TGTTTTATTTTTATTTTTGTAGTTGATACAGTGCTGTGATAAAGTATCTCTACAGATTTCTCCTGGTTTTGCTGTTTTTCTTCTACTTTTTCTGACCAACAAACAACTGAGTAAATCCAAATCATGAGTTTTAAAAAGAATTTCTTTAAGGAAAAAAAAAAATCTTTCCAAATTGTTCTAGCCCTGTGTGGGAAAAAAAGAATTTCCCTCTAAATGTAATCCTTAGTGAGTCTCTCACATCGCTGCGGGGAATTTTGTGCAGCTCTTCTTTAAGGAAATGTTCCAATTCAGCCACATTGGAGGGTTTTCCAGCATGTTTAAGGTCAAAGGTCAGATATATGCAAAAGGAACACAGTTCATGGTTCTGGCAATTACAGCAAGTGTTCCTGGTGTTCTGTCCACTCACCATACATTGTCAGATTGGCATATGTGTATTACATCATATGGTACTCTGACAGCACAAATCTGTCAGACAGGCATTCGATGTCATCATACATTTTTTAAGCTGTATGACACTTTGATGGGCCAGTTTGCCCATCAGATCATCATACACTTTGTACAACCGTGTGATACCATGAAGGTGGCTTACCCCTGTAACGTGATTAAGGAGCTATTCCACCGAAGGTTATTTACCCTCTCTCCTCAGGAAGAACTAATCTGCATGAGACTGCTTCTAAACGGTTTCCTTTCCAGCTCCAGATAAGAATGAAGACAAAGGACTCCTTCTTTTAATAAATCAGAAGAATTCTATTTTTAAATTCTATTTTTAATAAGCTAATCAAACAAAGTGTTAGCCAATAATAAAATGTAAACCAATCTGTAAACTGAAAATATTAACTCATTCACTGCCAATGACGACTAAAGTTATCTAAAGTCGTCCTTTGCATTTTTTTACTGTTTGAGCATCGGAACGAGCCCCCGCGCTGAGAGAACAAACATCTCAGCCCTGATGCCGATCTTCATCCGCATACGTCACAGATCACATGATCAGGAAGCAACACATCCATGTGTTAGGAGATCGTTTTGGGCCGTTCCTGTAAAAAAAGTGAGGCGCGAACCGGAGAAGCGTTTGCCGATCACAATTCGGCAACGGATTATGAAAGAGCGGATAACGCTCGAAACACACGGCTTCTTCCTGATGTAAGAGGTGAGTCTCTTTGTTTTGGTTGTTTTGGCATCGACATCATGCTAGCGCGCAACGTTCTGTGACTCGTAAAAAAACAGTAAAAACGGTGAGAAACGCTGGCAGCGAAGGCCGTTAGTGATCAGGAAACGGTTGGCAGTGACTGAGTTAATTACTTGATATTATAATCCTATAGAATAAAATAAGTAATATAACTTTAAATATTTCCACTAGAGACTGATTCCACGTAAGGTTAAGCCACATGACACATTTCCTTTTTCTGATCCAATCAGAATCTTCCAGATCTGATGGAGGCGTGGTTTTGGTGGTGCTTGGTAAAGCTGTCCTTTTTTGATTCGACCGTAAATCAAAACATCCAAATTATAAAACTATTCCCACGTCAGCTTAAAACTCCAGTTCAAAGCTTTCTAGAGAAGTTGTCGGAGTGGCCAATCCGTAACTTTCCTCTTCAGCCGAAAGAACCAACGACAAGCCTGGATAAAATCTGTTGCTGTTCCAACTGCTGCAACGGTTCCTTTCAGAATAAAAGCTGAATCATCACGACCCCTTTTTGGGTCTCACTAGATGCCAACAAAACTGTCGTGACCTGGAAGTATCTCAAGAATGGTCTGGTCGGAAACAGCTGCTTTTCCTACTGACTTCGGTTCCAGAGAAGGTCAAGCTGGACCTCGACATTCCTGATCTAACGGGGACTTCCGACAGAATGGCGTCTCAATGAGTTATAAATCTCCAAACCAAAAGCTTAGCGCGAAACATAATCTTCACTCCCATCAGAACTAATCATTTCTCCGGATTTGCTGGTTCTGAACAACGTTCCACACTACACCATTCTCCGTCTCACGTCACCTTAGTTACACCATACATTTAGTGTTTAAAGTTAGTCTAGTTTTAATTTGTTTAGTAATAAGTCTTTAAACTTTTAAAACTTGATTCTCTTTCTTTTGTCTGAGTTAATAATCCCTGCAATAAAAAGTTCCAATCTTCTGGTTTAAATTATCCAAAGGTCCATAAGATTGATTTCATAGTTCCTATGGAATCTCACATTTTATGGTTCATTAAATAATAAGTAAATCTAATCGTTACACCCCTCAGATTTTAATACACTTTGTTTTAGCAATTGTATGACACTCTGATGGACCAGTTTACCCATCAGATCACCATACATTTTTTTAAACTATATGACTCCCTGACTTGTCAATTTCATATATTTTAAAGCTTTGTAGATTGTTTTAGAATTAGAAGGTGGGAAAATAAAAGTTTGTGATACACATTCAGGAATTATTTGTTGTGGATAGTAAAACATCACGAACACAATCAACAAATGTTTTCTTTGTACTTTGCCATCTGTACATTTAACTGACATCTCCTCAGAATGAAGCAGTTGTTTAGATGAATGCGCATTTGTGCGTATGCACATAAACTGTATGTATGCTGCTCTGTCAGAACAACAGGTCTAAAGCAGCACCAGACCGTCACACTACCACCGCCATGTCTAACTGTTGGTATAACGGTGCACTTTCATTCTATCATTGCACTCTATTTCTACATTAACCTATGGCGGGTCTGACTAGTGTACTTCCCTCCAAGTAGCATATTACTATCCTCAACAGGAACTGCATTCGAACAAGTTACTTTGTAAGTTACTTTGGACAAAAGTGTCTTCCATATACAGGTCCTTCTAAAAAAAATGTGCATATTGTGATAAAGTTCATTATTTTCTGTAATGTACTGATAAACATTAGACTTTCATATATATTAGAGTCATTACACACAACTGAAGTAGTTCAAGCCTTTTATTGTTTCTAATATTGATGATTTTGGCATACAGCTTATGAAAACCCAAAACTCCTATCTCAAAAAATTAGCATATCATGAAAAGGTTCTCTAAACGAGCTATTAACCTAATCATCTGAATCAACTAATTCACTCTAAAGACCTGCAAAAGATTCCTGAGGCTTTTAAAAACTCCTAGCCTGGTTCATTACGCAAAACCGCAATCATGGGTAAAACTGCCGACCTGACTGCTGTCCAGAAGGCCATCATTGACACCCTCAAGAAAGGGGGAATGACACAGAAAGAAATTTCTGAATGAATAGGCTGTTCCCAGAGTGCTGTATCAAGGCACCTCAGTGGGAAGTCTGTGGGAAGGAAAAGGTGTGGCAGAAAACGCTGCACAACGAGAAGAGGTGACTTGACCCTGAGGAAGATTGTGGAGAAGGACCGATTCCAGACCTTGGGGGACCTGCGGAAGCAGTGGACTGAGTCTGGAGTAGAAATATCCAGAGCCACTGTGTACAGGCGTGTGCAGGAAATGGGCTACAGGTGCCGCATTCCCCAGGTCAAGCCACTTTTGAACCAGAAACAGTGGCAGAAGCGCCTGACCTGGGCTACAGAGAAGCATCACTGGACTGTTGCTCAGTGGCCCAAAGTACTTTTTTCGGATGAAAGCAAATGTTGCATGTCATTCAGAAATCAAGGTGCCAGAGTCTGGAGGAAGACTGGGCAGAGGGAAATGCCAAAATGCCTGAAGTCCAGTGTCAAGTTCCCACAGTCAGTGATGGTCTGGGGTGCCATGTCAGCTGCTGGTGTTGGTCCACTGTGTTTTATCAAGGGCAGGGTCAATGCAGCTAGCTATCAGGAGATTTTGGAGAGCTTCATGCTTCCATCTGCTGAAAAGCTTTATGGAGATGGAGATTTCATTTTTCAGCATGACCTGGCACCTGCTCACCTTGCCAAAACCACTGGTAAATGGTTTACTGACCATGGTATTACTGTGCTCAATTGGCCTGCCAACTCTCCTGACCTGAACCCCGTAGAGAATCTGTGGGATATTGTGAAGAGAAAGTTGAGAGACGCAAGACCCAACACTCTGGATGAGCTTAAGGCCACTATCGAAGCATCCTGGACCTCCATAACACCTCAGCAGTGAGACAGGCTGATTGCTCCATGCCACGCCGCATTGAAGCAGTTATTTCTGCAAAAGGATTCCCGGCCAAGTATTGAGTGCATAACTGAACATAATTATTTGAAGGTTGACTTTTTTGTATTAAAAATACTTTTTTTTTGCTCGGATGAAATATGCTAATTTTTTGAGATAGGAATTTTGAGTTTTCATGAGCTGTATGCCACAATAATCAATATTGGAATATATATGAAAGTCTAATGTTTATCAGTACATTACAGACAATAATGAACTTAATCACAATATGCTAATTTTTTTAGAAGGACCTGTATATGGAAGACACTTTTGTGAATGTGAGAGGCCTTTGTGTTCTAAAAGGTCAGCAGAGGGTTTGGTCTTGAAACTCTGTTGTGTGTGTGTGTGTGTGAGTGTGTGTGTGTGTGTGTGTGTGTGTGTGTGTGTGTGTAAACAGCACAACATGAGAATAATTGTGAATCACTCTTTTACCTCTGTTGGCTGGCTAGACATGCGTGTTCACTTACTAAAGGCGGTGCTTCCAGCCATGTCATCATAGAGGTAGGAAGAGGGCCTTAAAGGCGTGATACATTTTTCCCCCTCAAGAGGGTGCCCTCAGAAAAAAAACTGGATTTCTACTTTATTGAAATCATAAAAAATGCATTTTTTACTTACTTGGATATCTTTATTTGATCATGAAATTACTTTGCTCATCTGAAACATCCATGTGTGACAAAAAGTAGAAACATGAGAAATTTATAAAGGGGCAAACACTTTTTCACAGCTGTTAATGGGTATTCTACTGTATATTGAATGTGTATTTCAACTATATTTAACTATAAAACTAATTAAAGTTTGTTATGTTATTTTGAAGGCTCTAAATCATTATTTTCAACAGCATTTGATTGTCTATTTTTTCAAAAACATTCAGAAATAAGATGGGTTTTCTCATAGAATTTTATTGATGGTTATTATTCATGGCGTTAAGAACATTAAAGCCACATTCAGGCTAACAGCTGTTTAAGGAAGCACGCCTTTTCTATCTGTTTAAATAATTTCCATCAAGGAACGCATTTACATCCTGGATAGATTTCATATTCCTCAACAACAAACAAAAACAAACAGTAATGATTAAAAATGACACAAATTACTTATGTAAGCAACCTTTCAGTCCATGTAAATAAACTTTGTCAGGGCATAAATAGTTTAGACAGAGTTTCCTCCACACTACAAACACAAGTAGTGTTACTCTTCTTCTGACAGACACGTCGAACACTGACTAAAAAAACAACAAAGTCAAGAAAAGCAACAGAAAAACGTCAAATGGTCTGGTTCACAAAGACTCTAAATAAAAAAAGATTTTATTTTTGTAAAAAATGAAAGGTGCAGTCCATAGTCAGCAAAAAAACTGGATGGTAAAATAAAAGTTTCTTTTCTAAAGCAGAGAGCTCATGCTACTTTGTATTTGATGGGAAAATTGCCTTTAAAGTAAGAACAAAGGGAGCGTGGATCTTTAAAAGATGTAAGATCCGACAGATTAAAACTTGGAAAAGCACAATGCTTTCTTCAGTAGTTGACTGTATTGCACTTGAATAGGAACACACTCTTGTTTAGGTCAGGAATGCATTGTGAATCTAAGGACCAATTAGCCTGTTTCTGAGTGTGTATCCGTAGAAATAACATTTCTAACGTTTTATGTGATGGGCTGCGACTGTAAACAGCTTCTTGTGAGCAAATCTAGCACTGAGCTGGCATTGATCAAAACAACAAACCATCAACGTTTAACATTAAACCAGATCACTAAAATTCAACTATTGCTCAAACAGAACTATTCAGCAACTTTTAGGTTAGGTTTTGGATTATTATACTAGCATCAGTGAAAATGCTGGGTTTAATCTGCCCTCAGCTGCATGGAAACGAGGCTGATCTGTGAAATTCAAGATTATGTGTTTTTTTTTTCCTTAAATGTATTTCCTGCTTTGGTGAAATTCTTCTATCCTTTTTTAAGCGTGTCCCTAGTTTCCTCTAAATTTAAATCAGATATGCATCCTTCTGACCCCACACTCGCAGCAGAATCGTGCAGATACAACAGGGTACTTGGTACCGCAGGCGTGACAAAACTTGCTCTTCGTTCCACCGTTGCCAATTTCTTCTCCACAGTCACCGTCATCCCTGAAAGGTCGACAAAGACGACAAGAGTTACGGCATGGGAGGAAGACCCGATTTACCGAAAGGGCTGTCTAAACAATGACAGGATTTTTGGAATTCTCTGAAACATCAAGAATAAATCAGCATTTGTTGACTCCAAGGCTGGGCGATTGAACAAATTTATTGACTATCAACGATGAGCTGAGCCCCTCACCCACGTTTTTACCAACGATGTCAGTTTTTTATGTCTGAATTAGTCTCATGGATGGGACATTGCAAACTTCCAGGACAACTTAGTATCTTTTTTACAAGATCGTATATGTGCATATACATCGTATACATCATTAGAAAGCTGGGATTCTTGTGAATGAAATGATATATGCCAGTCAAATTTACTAAAGTAACTGTAGACACAGTAAACACTTCAGCCAAACTACTCAGAAAGTAGTGTTACTCTTCTTCTGTTACTCTTCTTGTGACAGAACACACCCATCTCCAACAAAAACTACCTTTTCATATCCAAAAGTTAGTAAGTCCACAACCAGTTTTACACCAACAATCCGACATAATATACCAATAAAAACAGTACCCTTCTCATAACTTCCATTAGCATCCTCATATTAGCTTCAAACGTTTGATCAACATCTTACCTGATCCAAAAGGTGACGGGTTACCTCTCTGCCGAGGTAAAAATCTGCCGCCTATTCTCACATGTAGCTGGAACCAATTACTGATAAATACTGGTGTTTGAAGCATCCGACAGTCATTGAAATTCAGAAAACAGCAATCCCTCATGACTCTTTGAGATCTGCTTCCCCAAACTGATTAAGAACAATTGTGATTGGTGGATCTCTGCATGTCAGGCCCAGAAGTCAAATATATCGATCTTTGACATTTGTCAGACTGATGAAAACGTGCCTACCTAATACATCACTGCACAGTGACAATGATGACATTCATTTAAAACGCATGCATTACATAAAAGCACCACAAGAGGGTAGAGGAGGTTAGCTACTCCTCCTTCCATGACATCCTGTGGAGTCAGTTCACCTTGATATGTGGGTCTCCGGTTTCTTCTTGTTGGATCCTGTTCCAAGCTGAGAGTTCCTCGTAGATCCGTAACCAGAGCTCACGACCCGAGCCTTACCGCCCACACTGACCAGAGAAAACCAAGGATGTGCCACATGTAAATCACTAGGATGATTTGACTTGTAAAGACTGATCTTAACTTTGATATTTTCAAGTTTTCAATTCAATTCGATTCAATTCAAGTTTATTTATATAGCGCCAAATCACAACAAGTGTCGTCTCAAGGACCTTCACACAGTAAACATTCCAATACAGGTCAGTTCATTAAGCCAATCAGAAAAAAGTTTCCTATATAAGGAACCCAGCAAATTGCATCGAGTCACTGACTAGTGTCAGTCTTTACAGCAATCCTCATACTAAGCAAGCATGCAGCGACAGTGGAGAGGAAAACTCCCTTTTAACAGGAAGAAACCTCCAGAGGATCATGGCTCAGTATAAGCAGCCATCCACCACGACTCTATGGAGATCGAGGACAGAGCGTGCACGCGCGCACACACACACACACACACACACACACACACACACACACACACATCAAGTAATGTTTCTATGGTTACACTGTGACCTCTTAGCAAACACTATTTGGTGAGAGATAAATTTTATTGTATTTATCCTAGTGAATCTATAATTAAATGGGTAAACTAGCAGTAGCACATTCAATGTCAAGGAAAGTAAAAAGTTATCATCAGGAGAGGGAGAATGAATAAATGGTTAGCAGCAGTGTTCAAGCTGATGGCGCCCTCCATGAGGCTACCACAGCTCAGCAGAACATCATTGTAGCTTCTTCTGGGGGGAAAAGCACTTAGAGAGAAAATAAAGTTAACAGCTGAAATAGCAGGAAATAATACAGTTAAAGAGCAGATTGTAGAAGAAAGTAGTCGAGTGTGGAAAGTGGTCAGTGTGTCCTCCAGCAGTCTAAGCCTATAGCAGCATAACTACAGAGATAACTCTGGATAACCTAGCCTTTTAGATGGAGGCATGTTGGAGGCAGGGCAAGGGAGAGTCGTCTTTACCGACTGTACACTCCACCTCCCTCTACTCCCCTTCTTGTCCAGATTTAGGCTAACATCAGATTTTAACCATAGGCCCTATCAAATAAAAATGTTTTAAGCCTATTCTTAAAAGTAGACAAGGTGCCTGCCTCACGGACTAAAGCTGGGAGTTGGTTCCACAAGAGAGGAGCCTGGTAACTAAAAGATCTGCTTCCCATCCTATTTTTTAGATATTCTGGGAACCACCAGTAAACCTGCAGTTTGACAGCGGAGTGCTCGGTTAGGAACGTATGGAACAATCAGGTCACTGTGATTTTTACACTCGTGATTTTTATCTTGAGAGGCGCTATAGAAATTATATTTTCTTCTTCTTCTTCTTCACTGATGTATGATGGAGCTTGATTGTTAAGAGCTTTATATGTGAGGAGGATCTTAAAATCTATTCTGAATTTAACAGGCAGCAAATGTAGGGAAGCTAAGACAGGAGAGATAAGATCTCTCTTTTTAATTCTCATCAGAACTCTAGTTGCAGCATTTTGGACAAGCTGAAGACTTTTAACTACATTCTGTGGACTTCCTGAGAGTAATGAGTTACAGTAATCCAGTATTGACGTAATAAATGCATGAACTAGTTTTTCAGCATCACTCCTGGAAAGGATGCATCTAATTTTAGCAATATTCCGAAGGTGGAAAAAGGAAATCCTACAAACCTGTTTAACCTGGGATTTGAATGACATGTCCTGGTCAAAGATAACACCAAGGTTCCTTACTTTGTTCTCAGAGATTAATTGAACGCCATTCAGGTCAGGTGATTTACTAAGCTATTTCCTTTTCTAAATTTCAGGTCCAAAGATGAGAACTTCCGTCTTGTCTTGATTTAGAGGCAAAAAGCTTGGAGTCATCCAATTTTTTATGTCTTCAAGACAGGCCTGTAATCTAACTAACCGATTAGGTTCATCAGGATTAATGGATAGATATAACAGAGTATCGTCAGCATAACTGTGGAAGTTTATCCCATGCTGTCTAATGATTTTACCAATTGGAAGCATATACATAGTAAAAAGAATTGGTCCAAGCAATGAACCCTGTGGTACTCCACAAGTAACCCTGGAGTATGAAGACGATTTGTCATGTACATTTATAAAATGAAATCTGTCAGACAGGTAGAATTTACACCAGCCTAGTGATGTTCCTTTGATCCCTACAACATGTTCAAGTCTTTCTAAAAGAACATTGTGATCAACTGTGTCAAAAGCAGCACTGAGATCTAACAAGACTAGAACAGACACAAGATTCTTATCTGAGGCCATGAGAATATCATTTGTAACTCTCACTAATGAAGTTTCAGTGCTGTGATACTCTCTAAAACCAGACTGAAGTTCCTCAAACAGAGCATTAGTGTTTAAATGCTCACATACTTGGATGGCCACTATTTTCTCCAGGACTTTGGATAAAAATGGAAGGTTAGATATTGGTCTATAATTCATTGGTTCATCTGGGTCCAGAGAAGGCTTCTTAAGTAAAGGTTTGATTACAGCAACCTTAAAATCCTGTGGTACATATCAATTTACTAAGGATAGATTGATTATATCTAGAATGGGGGCAGTAACCAACGGAAATGCATCTTTAAATAATTTGGTTGGGATTGGATCTAAAATGCAAATTGAAGGTTTAGATGAAGCTAATATTTTTATATTACTTGAACTCAGCAACCATATATTCAGCATGACGCCAATCTCAGGCTTATTAGGCTATCAGCACAATGCTCACAGTAATCAGCGGAACGAATCAGGATGGCTCAAGACTACTATTTAAATGATAGGTTTTAAAATCAGATGAGGGTCTGCACAGTCGTTTAAACTAGACGATTTTGCTTTTAGATGAATAGATCACAGAGCAAAGTGCAGTCATGGTGGTATTGAGTTACTGTGGCTCTATAATCCTGCCTAGACACACCTAAGTAATAATATGATCTGAAATCTCTCCAGATGCAATTTCATTTCGGTTTCAGCTAAACATCTAAGAATCAGACTCAAAACTTCCTCAGGGAAAACAAACATAGGTGGAAGCATGTACGTGTGCGGTCTCACCATGATGGTGGGCTGGTGAGGCCAGAGGGAGTAGTCCTGACTGAGCCTGATGAGAAGACCTTACCCGAGGGGATTCCTTAAGGTACAGCCAGAGAGAGATATACATTTTTAAACTGTGTCTTGCAGAAAAAAATAGTAGCAGGGCAGTAGGAAACACCTCCTATTTTGCTGCCATGACAACAACACATTGAGAACAACCCCAACCTTAACATTTAGGCAGTCGTGGAGTACTGTAGAGCACCAGTAAGAGCTCTGCTGACACCTACTGGACATGCTGTGGGTCAGTTTACTACTGCCTGAATTCACCAATGTGGCGTTTGGCTTATCTACTCCCACAGCTTTATTTGTTTTTTCTTATTATGAAACCAACACAATACAAAAACATCCCATGTCTTTAGTTAAAACAGAGTGAGGAGCTGTGCCACTGCGCCTCACCGGAGAGCTGTCCTGCTGATCTCTGGGGTAGACGAGAAGAGGCTGAGGGGATGGGTGACACAGGAGAGGAGTTGACCTTCTTTACAGGAGAAGGTTTGTACTGAAAGCAGAAAAAACACAATAAAAGGACCAGATTGGATAAAAATAACACATTTAAATTGTTATTTTACAAAACCTTATGGTAGCGTTAGTAGACTACTATTGCTGACAACAGCAACGGTGGTGTTACTGTTAAAGGTGTGGTTCACTAAAAAACCACCTTTAAAATATTTTCTCTAATTACAATTCATCACTCTGAGTTTTTCATGCAAGCAGAACATGAAAATAGTCTCCTACACCTAACTCCTGCATTAGCTTCTGATAGAAAATAGATGGTGAAACTCTAGGATTAGAAAATCCTCACAGAACTACGTCACACCGTGAATTAGCATTCATGAACTCACCAATCTTGACTCACGACAGGGAAGGCTCCTGTGGTTTTAACGTCTGGTAATCAACAGAGAACGTCTCAGCTAGTTTACGCTAACAGTTAGCATTAGCAACTTCACTTCACGACGGAAGTCCTCCTGGCTTGTGTAATTTGTGGAGATACAACATTGACGTTGCACTCCAAATTCTGCCGTCTGAAGCTCAGCTAGGACGTCGCAGACTTGGCCTGCTGAGACAGGGGTGTGTAGGCTTTTTTTCTGCCCTGAGTACTGTCTGCAAGTGACCCACTCCTTTAAAAATCTTTATCTCTAGATCAAAACAAACGTTGTCTCCTACTGGCAAGATTTTAAAAAAACACAAAGCATCATACATCTAATATGTGATTTCTGGAGTTGATTTCATCTACTAACATTGTGTGTCCGTGCGAGTGGTTATGCTAACCTGTTACATATTCTGTGTTACTTGATGCATCCAAACAACAGAAACTACAGTAATAAACATTTTGACAACTTCCTTAAAATCAGTAAACTGTTAAGTCATTTGGCCAATAAAAGAGGATTTATTGGGTTTATAATTCTAACCTCATCCAATGATCAGAGAAGAAAAGGGATGTCATCCATGAAGGAGAGGTTAGGCATTTTGCAAGTGTCTATGGTAAAAGGTAAATGGTCTGTATTTGGTATAGCACCTGCTCGAGTCCTACAACCCGGCAGCACGCTTCCTAGTCAGCGCTGGACATCAACACTTTTCGATTTGGGCGCCATGACAGCCCTGCAGGAACACTGTCTGCAGTTGTGCAAACACTCTTAATAACTGTCAATAACACAGAACTCCCAACTGGCATGCTAACCACGTAGCCAAGTATGGAACACGTGTATGCGCCATCAGATTTGTGTGTTATTTTCTAACAACAAGCTGTTTTCATTTGCAGCCAGCCGGCTGTGCATGTGTGTACCTGTGTGCGGCCAGGAGGCTTCTTGGCTTCTCCTGGCTTGTTTTTGTTGGGCATGCGAGCCGCCTGCTCTTGGCAGAACTTGATGTGTCTGTCAGCTGCACTCTCGCTGAACCTCCGCTGACAGTAAGGACACTGAATATAATCTGTAAAACAGGTGGGGATGAAAACACACCTGTTTTATTCTGTAAATAAATAAAAAAATAAACATGATAAACACTCATTCAGTCCATTTCTATTGATTTTTGTTACCTGGATCGTATGAAGGAGGAGGAGGTGGGGGTAAGGGTCCCCCGTCCTTCATCACCTGAGTGACGGCCTTGGCGGCACGGATGGTGGCGATGAAGTCCTCATGCTTCTTACGCCAGTTGGATGCCTTCTTCGGAGGTTCTGCCTAACAGGACAACACCACAAGTCTACTTTGGTAGCTGCTAACTCAAACACAACCAGCCTGATGTCATGAACACATAACTGGGCCAACTGGATGCCCAAATTTGACTTGGATCTATCCAGTCTGTTATCTCTGCATGAACACATACAACTGAAGCCTTTTGATTCACTGATTATAGAGCGCCTGCTTCCTGTTGTGAAGACTGGGAAATTAAAAAAAATACTTCATTGTGATGGTCTGAGCCTTATCTAAAGCCGGTGATAGTTAACAGAGTTCTGTCTGATCTTCCCCGTAGCAACGTGACAGCTCCACCAACTTCCTACTTCACCCAAGTCGCATTGTCCCGGTTCATTACCTCTGTTGGTCTGATAAAAGGCATCGGCATAGAAAATACAGATCCATTTATGTTGCCTAACTGCCTACGGTGTGATCATTTCACATTGTCCTGGTAACACCGGTGCTAAAAAGTGTTAGGTTGTCCATGTTAGTAGAAAGCAAAGGAAACAAAAAGGGATTTTTCAGTCCCACACTTTGCATGGAAGTTTTAAGAAGGAGTCTTCTACGTGTAATCTGTCCTGTTGGATGAGTGAAAAGGGTGCAGCGGTGCAATCGAGAAGGATTAGCAATAGGATTTGTCAGTTGGAGAACAGACTGATTAAACCTACTAGCATGAGTTGGTTTGATTCCAAACTACTTACAAAAGGCAAAAACAGTGAGAAACCGCCTTTAGTGCACTGGCAAAATTTTTCTGTAATGCTAAAAGATGGCAGACAGAAGAGAGGGCAAAGAAACAGAAAAGGCTAATCCACTTACTTTCTCTGAGACTGCTGAGCTTTGTGACTGAAATAAAGTCGACAGTGATTTACAATTTCACAATAAAGCATCACAGAATCATCTCACATAGTTCAACAGAGTGAAGATACCGAGTGCATTCTAACTGCTGATTCTTCGCTCTTGAAGGTTTTTTGTGGGGTTGGATTTCCACCTCAGCTGAAGACTCACCTTTGGTTTGATCGGTTTCAGAGTGGAGATGTCTGTCCCCTCGGCTCTCTGTCGGCTGGAGTCAAATACTTTCCTTCTTTTAACTGCTGACTTTTGGCAAATTTTTGCATGCCTCTCCTGTTGGTAAAATCACAAAAATAATCAAAAAGACCACTAATTCTTCACCAACTTTTTCTATTTTGTATTCAGTCTGTCTGTTTAAATGCTTAAAGGTAGTCACCATGCTGTTTTGGGGATCAGGGTTAGCTAAGCTGAAGGGCCAAGACTTCCCTCTCCCTTGCCTTAAGATTCACCTGGAGAAGCTGGCCCAACCTGGGGCTCCTCCGGCTCTCTCTTCGCCACGACAAACCGGTACATTTCCCGCATCACTGCAGACGCAGCACCAATCCGCCAATCGATCTCGCGCTCCATCTTCCCCTCACTCGTGAACAAGAGATACTTGAACTCCTCCACTTGGGGCAGGACCTCATCCCTGACTTGGAGAAGGCATTTAACCCATTTCTGACTCAAGCTAATAGTCTCAGATTTAGAGGGGCTGATTCTCATCCCAGCTGCTTCCCTTTTTTTTTTTTTGCAAGATTCTTGCTATTTACACACCCCTATTTGTATATTTGCTATGAAGACAACTGCATAATAAAGTATTTAAAAGGCTAATTAGCAAAAACAGGGTTGTACTTTTATTTAATGCTGCATAAAAGCTAATTTGAAATGCAAAAATAAGTATATTATTATTAATAAGCAACAAATCTGTATTTTACTTTCATCTATTTTACTTTTTCTACTCTTCAATCTGAAGCATTAACCGAAAACGAATGGGTTTAAAACCTTCACCTGCTTTTCACAAAGCTGCTGCTGTGGTTATTATCGGGTTTGCTGCAAACAGCTGATGCCATGTCAGCTGATAAAACATGGTTCATCCTAAGCAGCTCCTACTACTAGTTAGTACAAGATGGACCCAAACAAATACCCATTTTAAGAAGAAGATAAATCCACATCTTCAGAGTTATTTAGAATATTTAGATTTGTTTTTCTTTTACCAGGACTTTGGAGAAGAACCATCTTTTACAGGTCTTGCACTGGGTCAAATCATCAGACAGATGGGCTTCACCATCTGCAAGAGTATCAGATTAAATGAAATTTAGTGATCATGCACAGGTGCAGGGTTAGGGTGCTTAAAAAATGCACCCTTACTGTCTTTGTCTTTATTTTGAACATGTGTACATACACATAGCAATACACAAAACATAAGTAAGTTCCCCTTCTCGTTTTTTTTAACACATGTTTAAAAGGGAGTAGGAAGAAGCATCAGCTTATTTAATCCGACCCCTTTCTCAACATCAAATAACTAATAGTTATTTGATGTTGTCTGGTAGTTTTTGGCAAATTACTTTGCAACATATTCACACAAATGGCACATGGTTTATCAAGATCATGTCATAAATACAAACATTTTGTGTTTAGACACACACTTTTGGACCTTCTTCCTTGTATTTGGTAAATATCATGAGTTTAAGCCTTTTTTTAAACAGCATCATGTTTGGACATTGCCTCAATTCATCACTCATTCTGTTCCACAGTTTCACACCGCACACACACACACACGCGCACACACACACACACACACACACACTAAAAGTTTTTAATGTTGTTCGGACTCGAGCATATTTGAATTTTAACACCCCTCTTAACTGATACCTCCCCTCCCTTTTATGAAATAGTTTTAATATGTTGTCTGGAAGTAGTTTATTGTTTACTTAATACATTAGCTGTGCTGTTTGAAATTGAACTATATCTGGAAATTTTAAGATCTATGATTTTAAAAATAATGTGTTTGTATGATCTCTGTAACCGGTGTTATGAATGATCCTTAGAGCCCTGTTTTGTAACACAGATGATGATGAAATGTACATTTATAGGTGTTTCCCCAAACCTTTGTACAGTAATTTAAATATGTGGAAATAAGTGAACAGTATAGAATGTGGAGTGACTTTTGGTCCAGAATGTGTTTGACTTTATTTAATATTGAGATGCTTCTTGAGATTTTTTTGTTTATATGTTTAATGTGAGCTTTCCAGCTGACTCATTTTATTATTACACCAAGAAATGTGATCTCCTTCACTCTTTCAATTCTCACACCATCAATTTGGATTTGTTCTTGTAAATTTAGGTTGCTTAAATCTAGAGTGTGAATTATAAAAGCTCATGTCCTAGTGTCCGAACGATAGCTCAATGCACAACAAACCAATTTAAAACAGCAAAGAATACAGCAGGTAGAGGTTTTGCGTGAAAATGGGTTTTTTTTTTTATTCATCCATTACGTGCGATTATTGGTTAGCACTAATGCTAACACAGGACAACTACACCGGCTAGGAATCCCAGCTAGCTTCAGCCTGGCCCTTACGTTACCTAGCATAACTTAGGCTAAATCCCAAACAAAAGAGGTCGCTATCAAAAAACTGGGAAACAAAACACAACAAATAAACTCGTAATGTTTTGACCAGGTATCGTCTGAAAAGAGAAGCTATCGGCGTAACGCTACCAATAAATATCTAAAATAATAAGCAGCAAAAAAAAAAAAAAACAGTTTAAATTACCTTCAAATTCTTCCATCATTCCCTTGACTGATGCTGCTGTGCTGTTCCAAAGCGGCAAAACGTTCGTTCTTACACTTCCGGTAACGTTTCACCGTTATGACTCAAGCTAGCAGAAATTTGTTTTTATTGTTTTCTGATTTAAAAAATAACAAAAACAAAGACGTAAGTCAGAATTTAAGATTTTTATTTCATTGTTCAAATTTTAAAGACAAATGTAAATGTTGAACAGTTTTTTCTATGTATAATTCATTCTACCCTCCCTCATGATATGTACCATCTTGACCTAATTTATCTTTGGCTACAGCTGACAGCTGTCTTTTCTGACACCTGAGATCTGTTTATTTATCTTTTCATACATGTTTTACATAACATATGTAACATAGTATTGTGTTTTACAGCAACAAACTCGAAATTCAGAGACTGAAACTGAATTAGCTTCATTCCTGCTCATAGTTCACCATGTGCACACACCCACACTATATGTTAATGAAATGCTGATGCACAAACATGTGTTCATAATCTTTCCTTACAAAATAAATGGAATAATTTATTAACCGTGTGTGTTAAAAAATTCTCTTTCTGAATATCAAACATTAAAATTTGAATTCTGTGGTCACTGGCTGACTTTTGTTAGGTCAAGCATGCCCAAAGCAAACACTCAGCAGTTCACAAGTGTCCCAGATTGGTAACATGTGTCATCTGAATGGTGTGATTCACAAACAGCTGCTCTTGGTAAAGGCGTCCTTGAAAGGCTGGATTTGTTTTCATCACAATAACATTACTGTTCTCATTCTGACTGTCCACTCTGTCTGTTTCACTTATACAGTACATACATAAATCTACAGGAAAACACATTAGTGACATAAGGAATTGAAATGGATTGCCACGTGTCACATTTTATTGTATTTTAAATAAAGTAGATAGATTTGTAATGTTTTTTTTTGTTTGCTTGTTTTGTTTGGTTTAGTTTCTATTTATTTTCTGTTTTGCAGACCTCTTGATTCCAAACTTTTAAAGAGGATATTTAATTACCTTTTTTCTTAAGGTATAATCGTTTTATGGTTAATACTAAACTTGTTCATGAATTTCGTTGCACAAATACCTCTAAAAAGTGATTTCTTCAGTTTTATTTTTAGACATTTCAATATTTCAGGATGAGCATTTAAGGGTTCTGTCACTGCAAGTAAACAAGCTGGACCTGACCCCCCCCCCCCCCCCCCACACACACACACACACACACACACACACCCTGCCCAGACTGCTACAATCTGAAAAAAGTGGGGAGCTCTTTTTTTTTTTTTTTTTTTTGCAAGTGAGAGGTGTTTGTTTCTACTTTTCCTACTTGTGACATCACAAACAGGGACATATAAAATGGATGGATTTTTTCACATTTGAAGTGCTTTTACAGGCATTAGACCCACATGGCAGCACATAAGGACATAAAGGTGAGTTTTGTATTTGTCCGCTCAAAAAATTAACATTTACTTTCTGTCTTTTACGACAAGATTGATCAGTTGAATGGTTTTAAACATTTTAAAAACTGAACCATCAATCATTCAAAAAATTAAAAGAAAACACATAATGTGAGCAACACATTAATGACACATAGTTGATCAGTAAAATATAACAAAACAGCTAATTAAAAATTTGTTTCCAGCTTTCACATGGATTGACCTTTATTTTGAAATGTATTTCCGGAAGTAAAACCAGTCCTGTTCTGCTTGACTCCGTAAACAACCGGAGAATGCCGAAGTGGACGGATTCAAGCTGAGGTGACTGACTGTTGGGAATTTTCGGAAGCCATTCAGCCCGACCAGGTACTTTTTTAAAGGTATAAACGAGCCGTAGAGAGATTTTACATCGTAATTCACACAGAGGACGTAACGCAGGCTGTTCGCTGGCTCTGACCTAGCAGCTCTGTTGGGGTCTTCGACATCAGCTAGAGGCGTTCACGTTCAGCCATTTAATTACATGTGAAATCTGTTTTGAGAGCAGTTGTTCCGTCTCTCCTGCTCAATTTCTTACAAAAACATGATTAAGTCCATGACTTTACAGACCCTGCGAAACAAAACCATGTAATGATCATTTTAATGATAAATAAATCAATTTGAAAGGATGGCAAGAGCTAAAAATATCCCAATGTTTTTGGCATACAGGCCGTAAAAATCTTCCGTTCAAAATGAATATGAATATATGTTATTGATGGTTTAATCTTTGCTTTTTAACGTCTAATTGAAAATCTCAGTCTAGAAAATCTTTTATTGCTACCCAGAATATTGCTGATGGTGAGTTCATGGACAAGGAAAGAAATCAGGATTTTTATTGCTACTTGGCAATGTTGCATTCATGTATCTTATAATAAATGATGTAATTATTTATACACATTTTAGTATCAGCAGCCTTAATTTCCAGTTTGGCAGCACAGCATATCAAATATTTCCAAACTCCAGGAGCTTGGTTAGCCCACAGGCTACAGAGCGTTGTTGTCCCCGGCAGCTGAGGCTCTTGATCCCAGGTGGGAGTACAACCATGCTACTGTAATATGCAGACAGCTGCCTCATTATGAATGATGAACTCATAATTCTTGGTGTGACTGTAGGAAACCCGTGTTTGGTAACATTTTTAATGTTTTATATTCCGTAGAAAAGATCTGGGCATGTTTGAGTGGTCCATGCTGCTACAATTCTCTGTATTGCAGCTCTTGTTTTTAAATCTGTCAGCCGGACATGGACAGCATCTGTTAGCTCTTTCCCATCCTGACACCATTTCAAGAATGACAGCTGAGTGGGCGTGCGCTCAAGCGGCGACAGATAAGACGCCCAAAAATGTCTTTGGTCAACCTCGACGAGTGCGGTTATGGAAATAGCATGGTGGCGCAGTGGTTAGCACTGTTGCCACGCAGCACGAAGGTTGCAGGTTCGAAACTCGGCTACGGCCTTTGCGTGGAGTTGCGTGTTCTCCCCGTGCATGCGTGGGTTTCCTCAGGGTACTCCGGTTTCCCCCACAGATCACAACATGCCCTATAGGTTATAAATCGTAAGTCGCTTTGGATAAAAGCGTCTGCCAAATAAATAAACATAAATAGCTACATGAGTTTGAAATTGCTGAGGCCTTTTCTTTTATTTATCATTTTTAAACGTACACACCGGATCAGGAAAGCATGACTCTTTTTTTTTCTCACAGTTCCAAACTGGCGCAGAAGGAGGAAATCTCAGATTGACAGATTTTAATTAGTGAAAATGGGACAACAAAGCCTGAGCCTGCTCATTGCTGAAGGGCAACCTCATCGTCCCAGACTGAGACGGAGAACTAGAATGTCAACCGAAGGGTTTAACCTAAATCTCAGGGCAGCACAGCTCCCTATCTGCTCCAGATGACAGTGCTCTCCTCCTCTGTGCCATAATTGCCCCTTTGAGGGTGCATTGTTGTTTGCTGTCTGCACCAGCTCAAGAGCACCCACCGCTTTGATTTCACTCCCTTCCTTTGTGTTCCTTCCACAGAATGAATCTCCTTTGTGTCTCCTGAGTTACCCATATCCCGGACTGAGATTAAAATAGATTAATCAGGGATTAGGCTGCAAAATAAGAGAAGGGAGGGATGTATGATATAAGTACACAGAGCTCTTGCGTAGTGTCACTTTCTCATATGTCTGTTGCGTAGACACTTTTTAAAAAGCAGCACAAATTCTCTAAATAGTTTTTGTGCATGTCTGTGTTTTCGTGCACCTGGGCTACAGCGCTGTGTGCAACAGACAAATGCTATGGTGAGGTGTGGCAGAGATGACGGATGTGGAGGCGACCTACGAGGACTTCATTGCGTCTCGACGATCCGGCCGCAGGAACGCCATCCATGAGCTCCCGGCAAGCTCGGGTGTGCAGGGAGCCTCCGACCTTTCCCAAAGTCTGGCACAGCTCAGTATCAACAAATCAGGTGAGAAACGGCACAGTTGCATTTCACCAACTCCATCGTAAATGTTTCATTTGCAGTAAAATTTAAGTTGTGATCTTTGTCAACCCAGTGACTTTGTTGTTTTAATGTGTTTACCAAACAAAAGTGTGCATTTTAAACTCCTCTTGCACGAAGAAAATGGTGAAAACAGGCAAGGGCTTAAGGTGGGCAGAGATGACCTACAGTCATCTGTTGGATGGTGTATTTCAGGTGTGCGCTATGTGGGATCTGACAAGTCCACGTTGACAATATAGTTAGCATTTTTTTTAAATAAAGCAGGTGCTGTGAGACTGAATAACACAAGAATGTTGTATTTCCTCTTTGCTGACGATGTTGTACGATGTTTCTATAATTTAATGATTTTATTGTGCAAACAAACCTTTTTCAAAACCTGAAAATAATGCATGTCCTTGCTTTGCCCATACAAATAATCAAAGCTGAGAAATACACAGATGTAAAAAAAAAAACAATAAAAAAACAACCCCAGTGTTCTGGTCTCATGTATGGAAACCCATTAGCGCCGCATAAAAGAAAGAAAATGTCCCACAATATGTCAGTTATGAGATCGTCATTTTTGTGAGACACAAATTTTTCTTTAGAAACATGGTTTAAAAATTAATTATAAGATACAACATTTTTTCTAAGAGTAGTCATTATTATGAGATCAAGTCATTTTTTGAGATACAGTATTATAATTATGTTAGCCAAGCTTATAATTCTGAGTTTGTGTCTCATAATAAAGACTTTAAAACTCCTGAATATGACAAACCGTTGGACATTTTCTGTCTTTTATGTGGGTTTCCACTCATGAGTCAGTCATATATCTGTTTATTATGGAGCTTCCATTATTGGGAACTGATGTTGGACATCTTTGTAAAGCAGAAGAAAATCTGAATCATGTAAAGGTTTTAAATCCAGGATTCATTTCTGTGTGATCAATGTGACATTTTCTGCTGCTTCTAGGCTGTTAACAGTCAGGATGTATCAATAAAATAGAGCAAATCAAGCCCTGGCTTTGTTTGTTGTGGGTCAGAGCCATCGACATTAATATAGGTCAGAGCCCATGATGCTACAGTTGCCGCTCCGCACGGCCAAGGTCCAACAAACTACATCTACAAAACCAGATGGAATGTTTTTATTTTTCTGATGAATTCACCTGATTACTCTCATGAGACTGGTCCCCGTCTGTTAGGTGAAGGAGATGCTGAGAAAAGCCCGGACTCTCCAGCAAAGGAAGAGGAAGCTCAAGTTGAAAGCAGCTGAATGCCAGCGAGCACCGTGAGTGGAAAGCTCTAAATGACCCCTGAACATTTTGGTGCACCTGTTTGCATCCACGGACAAAAAGCAGAAAAGTCCTCCACTGCCTCCATCCCACTAAAACACCATGGAAACCACAGTGTGGTCTCCCTCCTGTAATCTGGTTCCTTATCCTTAAATTCTTCTCTGTGAAAGCGACTTCTGCTGTTGCCTAAAAGCACGTTGATCTTTTCACTGCTCCCTGTTTCAGAGCTCTCTCACTCATTTCCTGCTTATTCTTATCCAGGCTAGAGAGCTCCTTCACCTCCTTTCAGAGAGAGGACTTTTGTCAACTGACGTTTTTCAGCCATCATGCCGAATCCCTCTAAATATGTCCTTTTTTTGTCTCTTACTACAGGAAATCTCAGCCGCAGCTGGCGTATAACTACTTAGTCATTTATTTATTAGCTTCTACATCTCATCGTAGACAATCGGAAGTCAAATTTTCCCATTTTGAGAGTCAGAAACTGAACTTTTCTATTAAATCTGTACACGTTACACGTTATTCTCTTACACTGTAAAAAAAAGTCATGGATTTACTTAGACAACCTGAAATTCTGTTTAAATGTATTTTTTTCAGCTAAATGAAATAATCTTGTTTTTATACCTGGATTTGACTCATTTCTGGTGTCTACAGTCAGCCTGTTGTGTCACATCCAAACGTGTGTGCCCTTGTTTAAATTATGGATCATCATGGAACTTAAGAGAAATACACCTTTTGAAAGCTGGATGTTAGAATTATTGCACTATTGATAGCACTCGAGTTTACTTGTGTGTGTGTGTGAGATATCGTGTGTCGTGTGTGTGGCATGAGAGTTGGAAGCTGCTCGAGAACCTTTTCCTGGAAAAAGACGAATACTGAAACCTGCCTTGTTTTGCTGCACTAAATCACTGAATATACACTCTAAAATGTTTTTGTTGAATCCAGGATAACTGATGTATTTGTGGTTTTTTTTATCCTGTGAAATCACAGTAGCAGCTTATTTTGTTGGGTTTTATTTATCCCACTTGTGTTTTTAACAGAAAGGTTAGAGGAGTTTTGCCAGCGTATTTAGATAACTATTTTCTACTGTCACTCAGGTGTGGTGTATTTTTTGACCTGCACTGTTACATTGATGGTAATAAAATGCATCCTCATGTTGTATTTTACATAGTAACTCAGGCACTTGACACATGAGTGTGTATTTTCTGTTTAATGACAGCAGTTTGGATCCCTGTCACTTTTGTTTTGATGTGCAATTCAAATTTCACTGGTGGAAAAACGGATCCTCAATCAGGGTAGCTGTTGGCGCCCTCTAGTGGACATTACACTTAGCTACATGACAAAATCTTTTTTGTAAGTCTGATCAAATAAAGTAATTATAAATGTAATGAATCCATGTTCTGTGTTTATTAGAGGTTCACACTCCCTGATGAATATAGGATATTATATTAGACTCAGAATACAAAAAAAGTTTACAAAATTAATTGGCCTCATACAATGGGATTGCAGATGCCATTAGCAGCAATTTTCAACTTTTTGAGCTATATGTTTTTCTCCCCAGAAGAAGCGACAATGACGTTCTGCTGAGCTGTGGTGGCCTCATGGAGGGGGCCATCGACTAGCACACTGTTGCTAACCACTAATACATTCTCTCTCTCCTGATAATAACTTTTTGTTTTCCTTGACTTTTGATGTGCTACTACTAGTTTATCCGTTTAATTATAGATCCACTAGAATAAATACAATAAAGTTTATCTTTCATCAAATACAATATTTACTAAGACATCACAATGTAACTATAGACACATTACTTGTCTGTGTGTGTGTGTGTGTGTGTGTGCGTGCGCACGTGCGTGCGTGTGTGTGTGTGTGTGCGTGTGTGTGTGTGTGTGTGTGTGCGCGCGTGCGCGTGCGTGCGTGTGTGTGTGTGTGTGTGTCTGCTCTGTCTTCTCGATCCCCAGTGAGTCGTGGAGGATGGCTGCTTATACTGAGCCAGGATTCTCTGGAGGTTTCTTCCTGTTAAAAGGGAGTTTTCCTCTCCACTGTCGCTTTATGCTTGCTTAGTATGAGGATTGCTGTATAGTCACTGACACTAGTCAGTGACTTGATGCAATTTGCTGGGTTCCTTATATAGGAAACATTATTTCTGATTGGCTTAATGAACTGTGAATTGGAATGTTTATTATGTGAAGTGCCTTGAGACGACTCTTGTTGTGATTTGGCGCTATATAAAAAAACTTGAATTGAATTGAATATGTGACTTTTCCTTTAAGAATATCTTACAGCAAAGCATGGAGATACTTTCTTAAAGTAAATAGTATGCAGATTTTCATAATAGAAAGCTGAAATTGCAGCATCTGTCAATCCTTTGTTTTGAAATCATTTTAATGATTTTTTTCATACAACAGCTTGCTGAAATGCATTTTATTAAATGTGCCATTTTGAAGACAATGTTCCAAAAAGAAAACCTTTAGATGTTTCTAATTAGTGCAATTTTAAGCTGTCTTATCGTGAGAAAATGATGCAAAGATGCCCTTTGGGCATGACTGTCGTTCCTTTTCTCCTAAATAAAACTCAGCTGACTGAAGTTTTCTCCTGTGTCAGATTTTTATCACTGACTCAAACATCTGATGACATGTGATTTAAATAAAATGATGATTTTTCAGTTTGATCTAAACCAGTTCAATTCCACAACAGCTGTCTTCTCCTCTTTCTGACTGATCAGGAACTGACATGACACAATGACGATTCAATTTAACATAGTCTTTAATACAATAAGAAGCAAACACCTTCGGTTTATGTAAATATGCATGTACATCTTCAGTGGCTCATATTTTCATTTATAAGAAAAAATGTTTCTGTGATTTATATACAAACTTGGATAGACATAGAGCTGAGATGGTAACAGTAAAAATCAGGCTTCGTAGCCGGAGTACATAGGTTTTATGTTTGTTGTTGTACTGTTATATATCTTTCCCATAGTGGTAGTAAACTATTGGCTAGACTAGTGATTGCTACCATGTGGAATAAAAAGTCCATGGACGTCCTTGTAGAGCTCAGTGTTCACATAAGCTCGAGCTACTTCCTTGAATGTCCTGCCATCAAGGACCAGGAGGAAGCCAGGCTGGCCTGGGTTGGAGTTGACGACTGAGCTTAAGACCACTCCTAGAAAGTAGAGGTTGGTATTATAAAATATACACAAACTTAAACTAAAGATTCTGCAGACACATCTTATGATGCACTCACCATCATCCTCTGACTCTCCGTTTGGTCTGGGGACAAACACTCCCTCTGATGGACAGTAGTTGGTCTCTTCCCAGTGAAGCATGGTTTTGGTTTCCGTGTCAAACTTTGCAATCTAGAAAAATAAAATCTGCCTGTGAAAAACTCTTTCATACTGTTCAAAGTAACCGACCCTCCACATTTTTAGTCATTTAGTTAGTTTAGTTTACAATAAATAGTTTTTTACACTTTAAGCTACAGCAGTGGTACTCACTCCTGGTCCTGAAGAGTCGGTATCCAGCATGTTTTAGCTTTAACCCTGCTTCAACACACCTGATGTCAATCAGCAGGTGATTAACAGGCTTCTGCAGAGCCTGATGAGCTGCTGAACAGGTGATTCAACCACTGAATCAGGTGTGTTGGAGTAGAGGAACGACAAAAGCATGCTGGATACAGGCTAAGCCTAACCTCTAAAGCAAAAAGAACAATTAACGCAAGCCTAGAGCATTGACCAATAGAGTTGTGATCCACAAGAGGAGCTGTCAATCAACGAGAACGCAACCCAGTCTCAGCTCGCACTTCCTGGGTGGAAAAAGCAGAACATAGACCGATATATTACAGATTCGTCAACTACCTCCTACTTCCCAAAGAAAAATTTAACAGTTTAAAAGTGCCTCTTCAAAACTCGCAGATGAGATGTTTATGAAAGTCAAGTAGAATTTACATCGGAGACGCTTTTAAAAGATAGAGGGAGCTTCGTTATCTATGAGGGCTCAAAACTGACGCAGTGTTGGCAGGTTTTCTTTTGGGCGGGTGAATACTAAGTAATTTAATGTATGTTAGAGAATTTTTACCTAAATTGAATTTAAATAAAATAAACAATTGTTCAGATAATTGTTGTGCGCTGCATTTACCGTAGGCTAATACGGCACTAGCTTGAATGCTAGCTCGACATGCATCGAATTGATGTCAGTTTGTAAACTTCAAGCTAACTGTGGAAGAGGAGGTAGGGAAACAAAAAAGAAATGTATTTTTGTTTATTGGAGCTAGGTGATAAGTGTAGCATTCAACCTTGTGCTACATCCAACAGTTTTTACTCTGCTGACTCCACGTTGCCTGTATACCTCTGAGGTATGAGGAGGCATGCTACATACCTTAGCTATGTATAAACTACGGCACAGACTAGCCAGAGGAAAAAAAAATCATACAACCCTTTAGTAAAAATATGCCTATGTGTGTATTATTTTCTAGAGGTGTGGACTCAAGTCACATGATCTGGACTTGAGTCATTATTTTAATGACTTCTGATTGACTTGATACAATCTATAAAGTCTTACGACTTGACTCGGACTTGAACGCCAATGACTTGCGGCTTGAATCGACTTGCATCTGTTGACTTGATGATGACTTGAGCATATTTGATATTTCAGCACAAAAGTGGCCCGACATGGACAGAAATCATAAATAATTTTTCGTTCTGAGTGTGCTCTTGTTCTGCTAACTGCAGCAGCACTTTGTTTTATAATCAGTTTCAGTTGCACTTTCTGCTTGTTTGAGCAAATAAATGAAGCTTTAAGAAGCTTTATTTCTGGAATTTATTTACTATTGTTGTCATTAAATTGAAGTTGGACAGATGACTTGATTATGACTTGAAATTTTAAAGTTTAGACTTGGACTTCCAGATCTTTGACTTTGGACTCAACTTGGACTTGGTTGTCTTTGACATGGACTTGACTCGAAACTTGACTGGAAAGACTTGTGACTTGCAAAGCAATGACTTGGTCACACCTCTGTTAATTTCACAATTCATGTATTGCAACTTAAGCAATAAGTATCCATCATCTGCAAACAAGTTCCCGTTTTGGGAGATGGACTTGTGACTCTAAATGACTCAGATAACTTTGAAAGTGTTGAAATATTATAAAGCAGGAATATCTTGGTCCAACACGGACGCCCTGTAATAAACTGCCTCTGTAACGATTATATTTAGTTCTATTCTGCCAGAGGTCTTTGGGTTCATTTTTCCACTCACTTCTGTAACTAAAAAAATGTTTTTAATCAACAGGTAATTAAAACTTCAGAGGTGTAAAACCATCTGTGTGTAATTTCTCTGTGAGTCTGTGGAACAATGAAGACAGGGACAATCTTTCCCAGACTATGTTCACGTTTAAACTTTTGTTGTTTCAAGAAAGGAGGAGACACTGACACCTATTAGGCTGTAAAGAAATTAAAAAACAAGTGTTTCCACAAGTTCAATGATGCAATAATCACATTTCAAAGGAATACGGAAGGATCACCTGTTTTGTTGATGCAGATTTCTCCACGATGTTTCCGTAGACAAACTGGTGCTTCTTGCCATTGAAGTCGTAATTAATCCTGGGTAATTCCAAATCTATTTGGATATAAATCACAGTTTTTGCTTTTGTGCTGTTAGGAAACTACAATATGTAAGAATGAAGTGAGCTATATGCACCAAGTAAAGGTTCAAAGTTAAAAAGATGGGCACATGAAGCAGGGCTAGGTAGAATCCATAGTTCAAGGAAATAAAAACAAATAAATGAGCTGATTAGCAAAGAAAAGGGTGTGGGCAATCAAGTGATGTAGCACAAACGTGTGGATGTAGGTCATGGAACCACAAACAACAAATAAACCAAATAGAAAGCGCTCTAGCCAAGAAAAATCTGCAGACTGTTGTTTTTACCTCCACAGAGCACCTCTGCCTGGCAGGTCAGCTTCCCTTCCTTTTCCTTCACAGCGCTGGCTGTCGTGTACGTGAGTTTAACTAGGTTTTCCCCAACTGCACTGCTCTACAAATCCCCAACACAAAAACTAAAAATAAGCCATAATGTCTTTTTGATGATCCTTTCATTTTAAAAGTCTTGTAATTTTCCAATCCCACCTTGTCGGAGTGAAGCGGAAGGACAAATCTTCTGTAACTTGGTCTAGAGTAGTCCCTGCCTTGAGAAGCAGCATCTTCCTTCATCCTGTTCAGGTAGAACATTTCATAAAGGTCGGTATCGTTGTAGGCGATGACATCAAACACCACGTGGCCCTCATCCTCAAAAGCATTTACATGATGATAGACCACCATTGATCCGGTGGAGTACTTGATGGATGCCTCTTTGCCGGTTTTTCTGTCAACCAGGTGGATCAAAGTCTAATTAGAAAGGGAAAAACATGAAAGTTAAGGTTTTCTCTGTTGCTTCATACAACCAACTAAATCACTGCGACTCCTTACATTTTCCTCAGGGGCGTATTTCATGCAGCTGGCCCAGTTCACCCCTCTCATGTAGGCCGTGGCCATCTTCAGGATGTCCAGCTTGAAAGGCTGCTCAATGAAGATGATGTAGTTTTCGGTCATTCCGAAGCTGTGGTAGTAGCTGGGCTGGAGGAGAGAGCGACAGGGAACTGAGCAGACCACCTCCACATTCTTCAGAGCAGGAGCATGCTTTCCTTTATCTGAGAAAAAGACAACGAAAGCTTGTGTGTGTTCTGGATCATAGCATGTTGCGTGTTCCCATAAAGGTAATTAACAACATAAATAATAAGAATAAAATACTGTACAGTAAGGATTTGTACCAGAGCCGGCCCAAGGCATACACAATTAACCCTCTGGAGGCAGGCGTTGCAGATTTGCAGAACGTAAGTTTTGCCTTTTCTTGGGCATTTTTTCTTCTAGTTTCTCAAGAAAAACTGTATTTTTTTTTTTGACACTTTACTTTTCTGTTTCTGGTGCTGTGAAGCTCTGAGGATTTTTACTGCTATTTTTTAGCTTTTCTCACTTTTTGAGCATTTGTTATGATGCATAACCATGGCAACAAGCTGATTAACATTGGAAAGGCTGAAATAATACCTCAACTGAAGCCACAAATCCCAAATGAGCTAAAACGTAAGAAGCGTGGGTGCAGAGCAGGAGCAAAATGGAGACAGAGAAAGAGGAAATTCAAACCATCTCTTCCATTGATCATAATGGGCAATGTGAGATCACTGGCCAACAAGATGGAGGAACTTCAAGCCCTTTCAACGACTCAGCCAGAGTTTTGGCAGTTTTGGAACCGCTGGAGGAGATAATGCAAAGAAGGATTCTCCAGAGAATCAAGAAAATGATGGACAACCCTGAGCGTTCTTTTCACAAGACTGTCCGACAACGGAAGAGTGTCTTCAGTCAGAGGCTTCTTCAGTTTGGCTGCAACACTGACTGCTACTGGAGATCCTTCCTGCCAACAGCCATTGTAATATACAATAACTCTTTGATGACTTGATTATTATTATTATTCTGAGCTGCTACAGCAATCAATTTCCCTCTGGGATTAATAAAGTATTTTTGAATTGAATTGAATTGAATTGAATTGAAGTTAACACCTACCTACCTGGTTACTCCACATACCTTTTTCATGAGCATTTGTTAACTCAGCAGTACCCCTGACGGGCTTAGTTGTTCATCTTTTATCAAAACTTAATTTGAGCCTGAGAGGGTTAAGTGACTTCTTGGTGCCCCCGCACCACCATGGGGTCCTCAAAAGCACCAATGTGGCATGAAAGAACAATGCTTATACAGTTAAATCACATGGAAAACTAATAATAAGATGTTTTTTAGTGTAATTTTGTTTCACTTTTTAGTGGTTGATTGATTTAACATTTTATATATTTGTTTCAAATTTTAAGAACAAAAGGCTTAACTTGTTTATTGTAAATTCACTCTTTTTCTTTCTTCGGATGGTACTTTCAAATTTTGAATTATTAAACCACACTTAAAGCTTCTTTCCGGAGTATTTCTCTTATCCAATGGCACCATCTAGTGGCTGACAAGCGTATCACACAAAACCGCTGTTCCTCTGTTTTTTTAAGATGGCGACTTCACGTTTCTGTTTATAAATGTGCTTCTGCAGCCGACAAACGGAGTTAAAACACGTTGTTTTACGAGTAATATTCTCCTGTCATGTTGTGTTCTCATATATTTATATTTTAGAGACTTTCTTGTCCGTGAAAAGTTCATCAACTCTGCATCAGCCGAGGTATACCTTAAATATGAAGCGTCTAAGCCAGGGGTGTCAAAGATGCGGCCCGCGGGCCGGATCCGGCCCGCAAGCGGGTTAAATCTGGCCCGCGAGATGGATGTGTAAACTTTATTTTCATACTTTACAATGTAGAGTGAAAATAAACTTATCAGTGTGAGCAAGTTTTCTCTGGAATGAGTATAAATAAAACAAAGCTGCACCCAAGGCTCACACAAGAACTTGAATCACATCCTGAAGTTGGCTGCCACTCAGGATGTGACTTCTGATATTGATGTGCTGGTGAAATCTAAAAGATGTAAAGTAAAATGAGTCAAATATACTTTAAGTGCTGCATGAAACTGATCTAGCCATGTGATCTGTAAGCTCTTTGAATCACTAACCCCCAAATTCCACTACCTCCGCTCCGACACGAACGCCGGAGCAAAATCGGTCCCGTTGTAGTCAATCAGAGCAATTCCACTACTGCGGCCGTGCTCCGGCAGTGCGGCACCGTGCGCCGCCCTCTGTTCTGGCGTCCGGCAAAAATAGAATCGATCCTATTTTCGCCGGACGCCGGAGCACCTCTGCAGTAAATGGACAGAAATCACAACTGCCCAACAGGAAAAGGAGCAAGCACAACTTCCGTTTTTCACAATAAATCGATAAACAAAATGCGTTTTTTGTTTCATATGCACAGGTTTAACAGCTTTTAACAACTATTAATGGCGGCTGAAGTTTAAATGCACAAAAATAAGCCATAAATACAGTTTCTACTATCAAAGTGGTCACCCTTTGTTGATCCAAACACTGCTGATCTCTCAACACAAATGATGGGCAGATTAAACAGTTCATGCCGATGCTTCTCCCACACAACGGGTGTTTGGATCTAACTTCCACGTTTATTGCTCGGACTGTATCGCAAGATCTCGAAAATCCCATGCATGCTTGTTTGTCCCCCTCAGGTCTCCGCACCGGAGCGGAGCCGTTGTAGAGCGGGTACCAGTAAAAATTGAGTTCGGAAGCGAGCGGCTGCGGAAGGCGGGGGCAGAGCGGAGCGGAGCGGAGCGGAATTTGGGGGTAAGGAATGTTTTTATTTGTTGATTTTTTTATTTTAATTTTTTTCAAATTTTCAAGTACACTTCAGGTGTTGTACTTGTACTACACTGTCCTCAGGCTCCAGCCTTGTTTTATATTGATTGTATTAAAACAAAGAAAACAATCTGAAGTATTTTTTTAATTTACTGGTCCGGCCCACTTGGGACTAGATTTCCCTCAATGTGGCCCCTGAGCTAAAATGAGTTTGACACCCCTGGTCTAAGCGGTAGTGGTTAGTTCTGGTCGGTGTTCAGTTTCCTATTGCACGGGGCTCTGCCAGGCAGGGGGAGTGCTTAGCAAAAAATAAATAAATAAATAAAAAAGACGTATTGCTTATGTTATATCACAGTACATGTTGAGATAATCACTTTTAAGGATTTTTGTCAAATCGTACATAATTTCTGAAAGAGGAAAACTGAAAACAGCTTTAAGTAAGCCATAAAAAAGGTATATTCATTTGAGCATTTTTGTTGGTTTGATACTCATGTAAGGTGAATAGCCATTATAAAACCAGTATGATGTAAGCTAATTACAAAATAGGCTATTAATAGTGGTGATGTTAAACACTTAATGAAGCCTAAGAATTATGAATTATCTGGTGATGGGTCGGTATGGGGGCCCCAAAGAAAAACCTGCTTAGGGCCCCACAAATGCTTGGGCCGGCCCAGATTTGTAGTTTATTAAACAATAACCTACCTTTCTCTGAAACAGCTGGGACTTTGAACAGTGTGTACTTCGTTCGGCCTTTCTCAGCTATTGATGTCCCAAAGTTGTAAGCGTTGCCTTCTCTGTCATAGTGTGGATGGGACGTGGCCAAGTTCACGGGCACGTACTTCATGTAGTCCACCTGTATGAAAAAAAGAGCTCTTCAGTTAGCTTCACGTGGCAAGTCACCTCAACCCTTCACTAGGTTTTACCTTGTCTTGAGTTTCCAAGGTAACAGGGTCAATTTTGCGAATGTAGTTGGTTTCAGAAGTGGCATAATAGTCGTTTCCATATTTAATGATGTTGCTGGCACAGTTGTCTGTGAAGTCTGGCATGGTGTGGTTCAGAAAAGTAATTGCCCTGGGGGGAAAAACGTGCTTTCAGACAATATTTGCATTCGAGAAAAGCAAATTTGAGGTCAAAGTGGATCAGGAAAGGAAATAGGACAGCAAACATCACAGGCAGAGGATCTGATCCAATACAAAACTATCTGAACTGTGGGTCCTTTTATGAAACGTTTGTAAACACAAAAATTAAATGACCATTAAAATCAAACAAGCTGAGGGATTTATGAATTTGAGAGTAAATTTTCATTAAAGAGCACATTTCAGTTAAATGCTTACTTGAAAATAAAGTTCTTGCTTGGGTCTGCATAGGCCATTGTTCCCATTTCAGACACAACTATTCTGTTTGCAGCCATGTTGGCGTTGTAGGTGTCACTCCTGAGGAATCTGCACCTATGTGTCACCTCGCCTGCACAGAAAAACAAAACAAAAAAAAGATTCATTACAGAAAATCTGGTGGAATTTGTGGGTGATTAGTGAAACCTTTTCCACAACTGACCATCTTTAAATGTAAAACTGGTCAACAGTGACAACCCATCAAACCAGTGCTCATAGCGCGTCTCCCCCACGGAGAAGATCCCAGGTCCGTTACGCAGGAGAGTTCCCTGTAGCCAGCTGGGAATGCTCCCTGTTTCAAATGAATCAGAATTTTTTCAGTAATTAGGCTGAATATAAGGAATTTTGTAACTGTGATTAAAACCAACTCACCTTTGACATCTGCCTTAAAGGGCTCGGGCCTCTCCTGTGCATTTTTGGTGAAGTCGGGGTTCATGCTGGGTTCTGAGCAGCGGCGTCAGAAGAACTGCTACAGTCAGCGCTGATCTCTCCCTTTTACAGCTCCAGCCTTGGAGGCTTGGCAACAAAACCTTATGGCCCTCCTCCTAGGAGAAGTCAAGGAAATCCTGCAGCTCGATTCTGCAAATTCACAATTATATAAGAGAGAAGAAGAGGAAGTAGAAAAAACTGGAATAAATCCATTACTAAGTTCTGATGTAATCTGAATCATTTTCAGTTGCTGAGATCAACTTTGGCCCTCGTATTTACTTCCCATCAGCTTTTATAACTTAATTTTCTTTCATGAATATTTTATATTATTTGAATACAAATCAGTTCTGAATCGAACTAGACTGTTTTGCTATTTTGCAATCACAAAACAAACTATAAAGCCTTGAGCCTTATCTGTTTTATGACCTTAGATCTCGTAATTGAATCCCAACAACTGAGTTTCTTCTTGGGACGGCGTGAAATCCCAGCTGAACTGAACTGTTACAGGATGTTCAGAACTTCTCTTAATCGTAGATCCATCTCAGGTGAAAGCCTTACCTTCTGCATGTGTGTGAGGAGAATATCCTGCTACAAAAACAAAATCTCTTTGATGGTTTTGTTGTTTGCTCACCAATGGCAACAGCAGATGTTTGTCTTCATTATCCTGCCTCCTGTGGGGGCACATTTTCCTCTTTTTCTCAGGCATCAACTTAAGATCCTTCCGCATCCGGCATTAAAACGGGACAATAACTTCAAGGATAAAACAGAAGGTTTAAAAATCTGAACCATTAGGTGAAATGTCAATGAACTTTATCACCCTTAAGGGCAGTAGGTTCAAGATGTGCTGGCGTCAAACTGCTGTTCTGATAATGATCATGCACTTTGGTCTCTCTGTGGTGCCATTTTGGATTTCCTTCTATGGAAAACATCCTGTCAGTCTCCAAACACCCACTAAATCCAAGGTTACTTCATGCAGTCAGCTACAGCAAGAGATGTTTCCAGTAATAATCTTCATTCCCCGTGGATAACATGGACAACTAAAGCTAAGTATTCTAGCTACAGATATGCTTTCACAACAAAGACAAAGTGCAAGGTGTTTGTGATTTGATTACTTATTGATATCTTTATAATGCTTACCTTGACGTCCAGCTCTCACGCTCTTTTACCAGTTCCAAAAACCCGCCATAAGACTCGCGGCGACGGAGCGTTCTCTGTGGTTGGTCCCAAACTGTGGAACAAGCTTCCCCTCAACATCAGGACCACACAGAATCTAGAGCATTTTAAATCCCTTCTTAAGACACATTTTTTGACCTGGCTTTTAAAGCAGGTTGACTTGAGCATCTTAATAGTTTTTAACAGTTTTTATTAGAAATTGTGACTGCTGTGTGCTCATCTTATTTTAGGTTTTTATTGTTGATTTGTTTTACCTTGTACAGCGCTTAGGGTGTGGCTTTGCTGCTGTAGATGTGCTCTATAAATAAAATTGACCTTGACCTTATTACAGATAATGCCCATTGGTCATTGTAAACATCTGAGAAAGAAGTAATCTCCTAGTCAAATTTGTGTTTTATATCCAATCAGGTGGCTGCAGTGACTCATAAAAATGGGTAACTCAGTATGGCTCTGTGTGTGTGTGTGTGTGTGTGTGTGTGTGTGTGTGTGTGTGTGTGTGTGTGTGTGTGTGTGTGTGTGTGTGTGTGTGTGTGTGTGTGTGTGTGTGTGTGTGTGTGTGCGCACACAAGATCAGTTAACTGAATCTCAAAAAACAGAAATAATATTCATTATATACCATATTGTTTCAAATAGGGTCTTAAGGGGACATATTTTGCAAACCACACCAGTGTTTGAGGAATATCAGGAATTATGTGTCTAAAATTAGGTGTTTAGTAAAATCCCTGTTTGTGATGTCACAAATGGGGAAATTAGAATAGAACCAACTCTCAAGAGAGAGCTACTGCTGGAGTAGCAGCGGCTCTACTCTAAGTTCCTCCCAGATGTCGGTGCTTCTCAGCTTATAGGGAGCCTAAGTCTCCTCCCTTTCCGGTCGGCTCATGGGTCCCCGGAAGAACACAAAAATGAATGCAAGCCAACGGGGCTAAAAACGCTATTTTCTAATTCACGCCAGTCACGTACTTCGAGATTTATCAGCTTGTAAAAGTTCGTAATTGGTATGACTACACACCAGAAATTACACCTCGCGCATGTGGCATCACCATAGGGCTGGGCAATAAATAGGAAAAAGTATCGTTATCAAAATTTCTGACTCCTATCGAGATCCACTTTTATTGCCAATAAATTTGACAATAAAAAAATGAAAAGATGTGTGTATGTTGGCAACTTCATGTCCCTTTAAGAAGCTGTACCACCTTGAGTGTGACTCAACATTATACATGTGACAGCCCCATCTAGTGGACAACTTTTGTTTCTGCGCATATCTGTACTTATTATCCATTTATCGTTATTGGGGTGAAATCCTCAATTTATCGTGATATTGATTTTAGGCCATATTGCTCAGCCCTACGTCACCACATAATCTTCTCTTGCCTAACATAGCTGCTACTTACCAAATGGCAGATTCATGGTGGTTCTTTCTTCCTGTGGGAAGTTTGCTGAACTTACAGCCATTTTCCCTCAGTTTCCTACGTGTCTGGTTTGATGACGTCACTTTCGTGACGCGTATTTGTAGTCCTGGACTTATTTTCACACAAAACCTAAAATAGCATTTCCACTGTTCAAAAATAAGCGCGTTCTTGGTATCAAAATGTGTCTTTAAAATTCACGGACATCATATGTGAAATCCATGGCACAAAACAAGTGAAGTTAGAAAATAGCCCCATTGACTAACATTCTTTTTTTTTTTTTTTCATTCTTCTGGGGACCCGTGGTCCGGAAGTAGATGGGCGCGACTTAGGCTCCCGCCTGGGGTGAGTGGGTGTGGCCAACTTCGGCTTGTTTCTTTAAAGTGACAGAGCCCTTAAAACGGCTCATTCTGGAAAGTACTGAAAATGGCAGAATAAAACTGATGAAATTGCTTTATGTGCGAGAGATGAACATGTTTTGTATGGACAATAGAACTACTGTAACTGAAGTTAAAAAGTCACATCATGCCCCCTTAAACGTTCGTAAAAATAGAACTGTTTATTTCAGATGTTTTTGTCAAAAATATTCATGATGAAAAATGTGATGCTTTTCTAGCTTTTAAGATGCCAAAACAACCAATGTTTATGGTATGTTTTTTATTTTTATTTAAACAAGGTAAAAGTGCAATAACTGATCAAATATCCCTCCTAAAAATAATAAAGGAAAGCTGAAAATATTATAGATAAATATAAAGAGAAGACTTATGAATGCTCAAACCATACATTTGTGATGTGAATATGTGACTGTTGACTTTGAAATTTCTCAGGACTAAATGAAGGTGACTGAGTGAGACGACTGATTTTCAACACTAAGAACATTCTTCACGGGGTTCTGCTCTGGTGAACAGAGGCAACACACAGACCTACTGTTGCTCATGTTCAGCTCTAAACTCGTGACGCTTTCTGAAACCACCACAAGACTATTTGTTTGGGTCTGCAGGCAAAATGAAGAAAAGTTGTAACTTCACTTTTATTTGTTTCTTGATGAAGGATTAAGTGTTTCATCTCACCACATCTGACAAGCCAGACTCTCGCCAAGGGTATGTTTTGAGATGGTGCAGTAGGAAGAAAGTGGAGGAACCCAGTGAGGATTTAACCAGAAGGGCAGGGCATTTCAGTGTGCCAGCTGTTTTTGAGAACAAACAGAAACGCTGAACTTCTTTAGCAGAGCCCAAAACATGCAATAATGAATTTCACTCTTGTGAGTTAAAAATAATAATATATCTTTATTTCTGACATTTCTTTCCATTCTCTGTCATTACTAATTATAGAAAACTAAACACAAAAGTGACCAAAAAGTTATGTTTGTTGTTATAGCAGGAAACAATAGTTTCATTTGAAATCATTGTGATAGTGATAGAATATGTTTTTACTGTGTCAAACTGTGCTTGAATATAAATTAACATCAATTAATTTCTAGAAACTGGAAGACAAAAATAAAAAATATGGATTTTTCACATTTTTACACAGGAGTGAATATTTCTCCAGTAAACATACAGATCTTAAAACACACTTTAAAAAGCACAGGTATACTAACATAAGTATTATTGTGTACAAATGATAAAGTTTGCTTTACATATAAAATTAATGTATTTTTCATTCTAATGACACCTGGCAAAGATGGATGGATGAATGGATGGATTGGCAGCTGGATAGATGATGAATGGATGGATGGACAGACGGATGGATAAATGGGTGGATGGACTGGCAGATGAATGGATGGATGGATGGATATATGGGTGGGTGGATGGATGGATGGATGGATGGATGGATGGACGGATAAATCAACAGCTGAATGGATGGATGGACACAGATGGATAGATGGGTGGATGGATTGGCAGATGAATGGATGGATGGATATATGGGTGGGTGGGTGGATGGATGGATGGATGGATGGATGGACGGACGGATAAATCAACAGCTGAATGAATGGATGGACAGACAGATGGATGGATAGGTGGGTGGGTGGATGGATGGATTGACAGATGAATGGATGGATGGGTAGACGGATTAATTGATAGACGGATGGATGATAGATTAATGGACAGATAGGAGGGTGGATGGCTAAAAGGGTAGATGGATGGTTGGAAGGAAGAAAGGATTTACATATAAATGGATGGGTAAAAAAAATTCCGCTTTAACCTGAAACCAGAACTGTTTTAATTTTTTCAAACTAAATTTGTTGGTTTTTATTGTTGGTCAACACTGCCCTCTAGTGACTTCAGAAACAAAAACTCTACTAAACTTTTTTTTTTAAATACTTGCCAACACTGATAAATTCTCAGTAAAAAGATGGAGCGAGGAAATAATTCAAAACTTTTAACAGCTTCACGAAAAGTAAAGGAATCAGACTTTCCTTTTAATAAATGAGATCGATCAAAGGAGTTAATCTGGTATTTATTGTCCAAAATAAATGAAAACATGACACATTTCTATCTCCAATACATTCATAGAATGTCACAAAAGCTTCCGCCTTCTCCGATGACTTCTTCTAATGGCATTAAGAACAAAAATAGCGTGAGAAACGACAATCTCCTCTTTATTTTACATCTGCGTCTGTTGGAATTAATAGCTTCAAGACAGCATATAATATGCAAGACTTTTATAAGAAGTGTTTATTTGCACTGCCCAGATCTTTGAAACTGTGCTGATATATTTTCAAGTATTCCTTTTCTCTGTGCTGAACATTATACCCACCGTCACCATCGCACTGTTATCAGTTATGGAATACTGTGGCACAGTACAAGAATAAAGTTTAAGTAAACATTATCTACAAAATAACATAAAAAAACCTTGCAAATGTATATTGTTTACAATGCAATCCCCATGCAATACCACATGCAGTTGTAGAAATTGCAAGAAGCGGTGCCCGATTCCATCCGGAGAAGCCCGCAGTCCATAAACAGTCTGGAGAATTTTGTTTAATCCAAGTAGGAAGGCTGACAGGCGATCCGTTCTTCAGATTCTGCCAGCAACAAACAAAAAAGCTTTTAAAAAGAAGCGTTTGACGCTGTTGGATCATGGGAAAAAACTGAACCTGCACACAGGCAGACTACATCATGCAGAGAGAGAAGTTTAGAGAAAAACAAACATTAAAAAAGGGATAAGGGGCAGTGTGTATCTATAGTGAGTGTATGTTTACCATGAATACATACATCATTGAAAAATTATTCCAGCCTTCACGAAACGCTCAGTTTTCCAAAGGCAAAACAAATCACATTAAAGGGATAAACACACAAGTAACTCAATAAGAAACTTTTTTTGTTGTTGTTGTTCTTTCAGGTGTCAGAACAATATCCAATCAGACGTTGGTTCTACAAAGGCAACAAAATCTAAAGGCATAACTTCAAACAACAAACAATCCTTGTTTCTCAAGAGCTAAATTCAAGTATTTATTCTTTAGTTTTACGTGACCCGGTACCACCTTTTCTCTAAATCGCTCCAGTTTCTGATGATCTTATGTGAAGCTGCTTCGTCATCAGAATGAAGATTTTTGTTTATTGTTTTTGTGCGATACATGCAGTTAAAAGACCAAAAAATGAATAAAAAAACTTTGTTTAACAGTTTAGGGAGAAATTATACACACAATGAGGCAAAAACTACTTATAGTAAAAAAAAAACATATACTTAGTTTACAATTTAAAAAACATTTACCAAATGAAGCTCTTATTACAGCTTTTTATAGATACAAAAATAATTATATTATCTTTCCTTCTGGGGTAAATTTAGAATCCTTAATATAATCTGAACACCAATGAACACAAAGTCACGAAGATAAAAAGTGTCTCAATCTAGAACATCATCGACATTTGACTCATTACAGTACCCTTTTACCTCCCATCCTATAGAACATCTGGCTGTTAATACAAACCATTTGGTTTAACAGATCCGTCTGGCGTCAATAAATAATCTTTTCATCTGGATTTGGTGGATGTCACTGACATTGGGTTACATTTCTACAAGTGCTCTCTAAATCTTTAAAACCGTTTTGCCTTGATTCCAGCAAGACAAAAGAAATAAACGCGTGACCTTCAACCTTAGGTTTCATTCAATGTCTGCGGATGAGTGTTAAAATTCATTGGTGTATCTGAAATATTCCCTCTTATGTTTGCACTTTAAAAAATTTAACATCTGACTGACTTTTTTGCAGTTGTTAATACAAAAAACAAAACAAAGAACAAAGTCCTATGTTGGGCAGTAGAACTATCTCAACATCGGTAAACCTTTTGACGATTTAGGGTTGGGCTAACAGTCCTTTTTGCTCTATGACCATTTTTCTTGTTGGAAATAGTCAATAAGAACATTAACTGGTCATGCACACAAAGTATTGCTTCATCTTCTTAATCATGGCTTAAGAACGACCAGGTTTCTGGTCCATCAGCACATCTAAGTGACTGCCTGCTTTCCCAGGAAAACAAAAAAGAAGAAAGAGCTTTTCCACGTTACATTCGATCCTGCAGGTTTAAGTCATACGTGTAAGTTTTTGTCGTAGTAGCAACCTGATTTGTGAGGGTCCAATCCTCTACCGCACTGTGGCAGTTTTCCGCCCCACTCTAGACACCCAGGTTTCCCTTAATCCATCTTCCCGTTCTCCTGAGGGGTCGTGCCTTTTTCCCGGCGTGCAGATTGCAGCACCTTGTAGCAACCCCGTGCAATCTTATGCATCCACATGATGTTCATAATGTCTAAACAGATGCTTGAGCCGATCCAGGCCACACGGCCACCCCAGGGCACTAGGTAGAAAGCTTCGGTGCCGTAGACTGCATACATGCGACCGTAGTAGACCGGCATGACAGCGATGCGGACCATGAAAAAGACTCCTGCCATGGCAACACCATTCGCCATATTGGGCCGGGATGACTTGGGATATCCTAGTACCTCAAAGAACCAACTGTAACAAAACAGGTGTGTATGAGAGCATTGTAAATGTACAACTAATATACAGTGATCCCTCATTTATCGCGGTAGATGCGTTCCAGACCTGGCCGCGATAGGTGAAAATCCGCGAAGTAGGGACACCATATTTACAGCATTTATTTAACAGGTACGTATTCAGTATTCAGACTTTTAAAACCCTCCCTTTACATAGTACTGTATTTTTACTTGGTTGTTTTATAGTTTTATTTTTACAAAAAGTGCATTTTATGATGAAATTGATAAAAAAAAACAGGAATTTCTTGATATTTCGCACAGGAAAAATACCGCGAATCGGTGAAAAATACCGCGAATCGGCGAATTTCCCTTGAATAAGGCTCCAAAGAAAAAAACTGCGAAGTCGTGAATCCGCGATAAACGAACCGCGAAGTAGCGAGGGATCACTGTATTGACAGTTTACAAAGAACATGTATGCTGGTGATGGTTCTCAGTCATCCAGGTCAAACAATCTATCTTCTCTAACCAGAATGTGTCATCTTCAAAAGTGTGTCCCTTGTCCTTCAGGTGTAGGTGGACTGCAGAGTCTTGATCTGAAGAGGTGGCGTTCCTGTGTGCATGGCACAACACAGGAGAGCCACCTCTTTTACAATGCAGCTCTGAATCTTACCCCTACTGCACACTGGAAGCATCGGCAGCGCGGAACGGCAGTGGAACGTCACTGCTTCAAATAGAATCCATTAGAGTCTATGGGGGTGATTCAAACCAGTCGCAACGCCGCAATTTTCAGATGCCTTCCAGTAGCGGCACGCCGCTAAAGATAGGTTCGGGTTGTACTTTTGCCATTAGCTGCTTCTGGGACGCAATAATTCCCGCAGTTACCATAGGATTAGACGGGAAACCACACACATTTTTAGTGTAAAACCTGCGGTAATTTTCATAATAAAAGTCTTTTGCAACAATGCAACTTCCTATCTCTGTAGATTACGTCAATATAAGTGACCTAACAGCTTATTTACTCCCTGCATCGTGCCAGAAGTACTGCGGTGTTTTTTTCATGGCTTTAATCTTGGCATTGGAGAGGAACAACATCACATATGACATCAAACAGCGATATCAAACGCCGTTCCCTTCTTTTTGGTTTATTGGCGGGTGGCATAAACTCGAGGGATTTTGTGATTTCGCGAGTTGAGCGAGGAGCACAGCGGAGAATCTGCTTCGCGACTGAGACTCTGTGTGCACCGGAGTGAAGACATTATCGTGAGTAAACCTTTCTGCTGCTGTTCCATGACGTTGATGTATCCAGTGTGCAGTAGGGGTAATTTCCAAACAGTTTGAGTCTAGATCACACCCTCCTATGTCTAATCAATACTATGACCTCCACGCAATAGAGGCCAACTACTCATCAGTGATTAGGGGAGGGGTATTCATAGGTAGCTTCTGCTCCTTAAGCAACAATAGACAGTTACAGCTTATAAATTTGACCCTCCCATATTCTAGTCAGAATTGACAAAGCTCCTCAGATGAGAAGCAAAATGTCTTCAAGACACCATTTAAGTCCAGTTGCCTTCATTTAAAACCCCGTTGAATTACAAAGAACATGATTACACTTCAAACTGAGTTAGAAATAAATGAGTTTTTCAAAGGTAGTAGTAGTAGAACTAGAAACAATTTTGTAGGACCCAAAACCATCTTTTTGACAAAGACTACAGACCACTTTAAACATCTGACAATACAAATTATATTTATATTTTTTGTGTGTGCTTGAATATTTCAGACGCAAATACAATTTGTTGAGTACACGCAATGCCAAAGAGGACTGTTCCAGCCCAGATTATGTACCAGCATCATTCAAGAGTAAAGACAATTATCCACCTTTAGTCATTTGATTTATGATTATTCACTATTGATTGGCTGTTCAACAAAGAAGGTGTGAAACAGGCTGGGTAAGTCAGTAACCTGCTCATAAACAATAACAAGACAAGAAAAAACCAGCTGACCGCAATATTGTGTTTCTTTTTTTTTTTTTTTGCCATTTTATAACAATCTGTAGTAAACTGAGCCATAGTGACATTGGTCATGATGATTATGATTACTAAAATGTTGCTATAAGTGGAATAATTATGCCCCGCCCCTTCCAAAAATCGTAAACGGTTCCAAATATTAGCAGATCATCCTACCCTTTGTAGTGTATTACGGTGTATTAAACTTCGTTATTATTCGAGTTGTTAGATACTGATGCGGATGAGATTAAAGATATTTGATAATAACGCCAACATTTACCTTTTAACCAGCATTCAAAGCTGAATTTAAAGAGACTGAATAATATTTGCGTGATCTGAAGCCCAGAGTGTGAGTACATACCGCTGGTTCACACATGGTGTAGAAAACTCAGCAAGCAGACGGAAGTTAGCAAAATAAGGCAACATTCCTTGGCCCTGAAAAAAAAACAAGGTAGGCACAAGAAGACAAGAAAACATGAAAGGGACAAAAACAAAACAGGAAGTGCTATGCATCAGTGGGCATGCATGATGCTGATGCAAGACCTCCTCCAGCAACCACAATTCCTGTTAGAATCCTGCTTGGAAAATCCACATTCCGATCCCCATTACTCTAATTACACGTAGGAAGGGTCTAACAATAGTCTTACCCCCAGGGCTCGCTAAAATAGACTAAATTACCCTCATAATTGATTTTCCTCATTTGTCAACATACTAAAAATGGAGCATACGTAAGAAATAATAAATGACAATCCTGCAAAACTAGAATATGACTGCTTGTCCAAAACCAACCTGTGACTGTTTTCTTTGTGAGTTTGTTTTAAATATTTATATTTCTTATTTTATTGTTGCAGACTGATCGGTTTTCATTTTCAGCCTAGAAGATCACAAGTCAAGAACAATAAGACAAATAAATGAAAATCTAATCCAACGTTAATCTATTAGCACTTTAATAAGGATTACTGCCTTATTCTGGGTTTTGATTATTTCATAACTAATTAGCAACTTAAATTTTACCTTATAGGGAGCCTAAGTTTCCTCCCCTTCCGATCGGCTCATGGGTCCCCAAAACAACGAAAATAAATGCAAGTGAAGGGGGCTATGAAGTTATTTCTAATCCGCTTTGCCGTATGCCCTGAATCACACATATGTTGTACTTCAATTTAAATGAAAAGAAAGTGTGCAAGTTTCGACTCTGTCACATACTATTTGTTAGCTTGTGAAAATATGTAAATAATATGACGACAAATCAGACATCTCATATATGATGTGACCACATGGCCAAATAGTTTGCTTCTGTTTCCTTCACGTTTAATGCTCCTTCTGTCATCCTGGAACAATTTGAAGCTCATTAAACTCAGGCATTTTCTTCCTCATTCGATGACGTCAGTTTGGTGAGACGCATTTGTAGTCCTACACGTTTTCCACACAAAACTAAATAACTTTCTGCCGTTAAAAAAATAATAATAATAATAAGCGCTTTCTCTGCATCAAAATTTGTCAGTTCTCATCATCAAATGTGAAATCCATGTCACATATAAAACGGGATTAGAAAATTGCTTATTGACTTGCATTAATTTTTTTTTATTGCCGAGTGGTGCTGGGCATGACTTAGGCTCCCTATTCCAAGTGGTAACATTCAAGTATGCCAGTCAAAATGTAATTTTTGCATAACGTAGGAAGAAAACCAGAAAATCTTCCAATGTGCAAAGATTTTGTTGTTTATCCATAAAAGAGCCATCAGAGACATGTATAAAATACAATTTATCTGAGTTTCATCAAATTCTTTGCAAATAATACAGCACATAATACATGTATTGTACAAGAATACAAACGTTCAGCCAGCCACTAGTTCAGGAAGCAAACCAGAAGCCATGCAGAGTAAAGAGCCAAAATACACAACATCACGTATCAATTCCTGATACCGTTAGCCTCTGACAGTAAATAAAATTAAACAAAAAACTGTGTTAAAATGCTAAATTAACTAAATATAATAAAATTATTAGTTGTGACTGAAAAACTGCATCCCATCCAACGTTATAATTCATGTTCCTGGGTGGTTTTCAGGACTTCTATCAATGTTATAATTTAAAAATACCAATGATTCACCACAACATCCACCAACAACACCTTGGATACTCACCACCGTCGCTGAAACAGAAGCAGGTCATTGAAACATACTTACTACATCCTAAAAAGATTGCATAGCCAACTAGCATTAGCATGCTAGTACCTCTAGGAACTGGTAAGTCCATACTGTGACTGGGCATCATATCTGCTCAGTACAACACAACAGCAATTACAGCAGACAAGACAGGAAAAAGGAAATCCCCATCTAGATCGAGGGCTGCTCTGTGCTTCTACCAGGTAGTTTTTGCATGAACAAAGGCCACACCACCCGACTTTAGTTCTTTGGTAGTTTTTGCATGTAGGATTTAAAGAGGAGCTGCTTGTGTTAAAGTCAGCGAAGGACAAACAGACAAACAGACAGACATCTCTCTCTATATATAAATATAGATTAGAAGAAGAAAACAAAGAGCCACAACAAACTGGAAGCAAATAAGGAACAACACTGAGAATGAAAAGCATGCATAAAACATCTAATTTAACGTTGACAGTTAAAACACAAAAAAAACAGAATAGGATGCTAATAATTACTGACTGAATATCTTGATATTAACCTAATTTATCAAGGCATTTTGGTTTAATTATCCATATTTATTATGTTTAAGTTATTTGACCATGAACACTCAAACATAAACACACTCAACGTATTAACTAATATGACAACAAATGACAAATCTGACTGGGTAAAAAAACTAAATGAAATTCAGACTATGTACACACGTATCCGGGTATCCCACAAAACGAAGACATTTTTCTACGATGTCTGCTGTCATCCACCTGAAAGTGAAGATAAATGGCACCAAAAACGATTTTTTAAAAACCAAAGTGTCAGCATTTGTTAATGGACATCATTAACTAAGGTTTTAGGTTTTGCAACGTCACTGCCCCTGACAAAAATACTCTGACATCCCCTGTGTGACATGTATTTACTTAGGCTTGTTTTGACAAGCTCGATTACTGCTCTGTGAGGAACTCCACAGGCAAATAACTGTGTTAAGTTGGTTATCACCCGGCCACCACCTAGTTATTAAACATCCAAGGACTGTTTTCTGGGAAAAGACACAGAGGATTTGGGGAACTGCAGCCATCTACTAGCTTGGCATCCCAATGAATGTGCTTCCAAATGCACTGGAGTTTTTCGCTGATAACGAGTCAGTGTGTACCCATAGATGGGCGGGGGAGGATATTGGTTTTACAAAAACCAGAATACATGTGTACATGGCCTAAAAGAACATACGAAGTTAGCCAATTGGGTATTATTTCATTTGAACTTAAAAAATTTGTTTTTAGTGTTTTATTTTTAGAGCTGACAAGTAAATTCCACATAAATTTCAGATATGATCTGATGAAAGAGTCACGAGTGTCCAGTAACAATATGGCCTACTTTTTCTCATTACCTCAGTGTTTTAAACATAGCTATTTGATCTGTTTCTATTAATAAAATTCTACATTTTCCTTTGAAGGAGGCTTCTGTATAAAGATTAGGAACAATTAACACACTGCCTGGGCAAAAAACAAAAGTCACACACACTAATTTTTCGTTGGACCACCTGTAGCCTTGATTACGGCACACATTCTCTGTGGCGTTGTTTCGATAAGCTTCTGCAATGTGACCAGATTTATCTGCATCCAGTGTTGCATTAATCTCACCAAGATCTTGCATTGATGATGGTAGTCTGACCGCTGCACAAAGCCTTCTCCAGCACATCCCACAGATTCTCAGTGGGGTTAAGGTCTGGACTCTGTGGCCAATCCATGTGTGAAAATGACGTCTCATGCTCCCTAAACCACTCTAACTATTTCGGGGGCCGTCACCTATTTGAGCCCCATGAATCCTGGCATTGTCACCTTGGAATATGGCCATGCCATCAGGGAAGACCATATCCATTGATGGAATAGCCTGGTCATTCAGTATATTCAGGTAGTCAGCTGACCTCATTCTTGGAGCACATACTGTTGCTGAAACTAGACCTGAGTAACTGCAGCAACCCCAGATCATAGCACTGCCCCCACACGCTCATACACTAGGCATGATGGGTGCATCACTTCATCTGCCTCTCTTCTTAGCCCGATGCACCCATCACTCTGGAACAGGGTCAATCTGGACTCATCAAACCACATGACAACCACATGACCTCCTTCTGTTGCTCCAGAGTCCTATGCTCCCTGGCAAATTTAAGTCTTTTTTCCCAGTTTACCTGACTGATTAGTGGTTTTCTTACAGCTACCCAGCTGTTCAGTCCCAATCCCTTGAGTTTTCTTTGCATTGTGCATGTGGAAATGCTCTTACTTTCACTATCAAACACAGCCCTGAGTACTACTGTTGTTTTTCTTCAATTTGATTACAAACTTTTAAGTGATCGTCCATCACAATCATTCAGGATTTTTTTCCAGCCACATTTCTTCCTTGAAGATAATGGGTCCCCACTAACCTTCCTGTTTTTAATATTGCATTAGCCAGATCTTAGACCAATTGGTTTCTGCAATCTCTTCAAACGTTTTCGCTGCTTGATGCATGCTAATCATCTGACCCTTCTCAAACAGACTAGCATTTTTTTTCACGACCACCGGAGGTGTCTTTCCACATGGTTGTTTAAGAAATGAGAAGTGACTCACTGCACCAGTTGGGGTTAAATAACTTGTTGCCAGGTGAAATATCACCCATGCAGTAGTTATCCAATAGGAGGCTCGTGCCTAGCTTAGTTAAATCCAGGTGGTGACTTTTTTTGGCCAGGCAGTGTATTTTACAGGTTACATTTAGCTCCGTTTGGAGGAATAAAGATTAGTTTTGACTGAATTCATGAAATAAAAGCTGGTCTTTGTGAGGACAAAAAAGTTCTAAAACAGCTCCAGCCTTAAAAATATCTTTGCGATTTGTTAGAGTAATGATTTGCAGTTATTAACAAATAATTATATGTTCCTCAGACACTTCTGGTAGTGGCTTGCATGGCGCAGTAGTGGGGCAAACTCGTGACCATTGTCTGCCCAGTAGTAGCTGTAACCTGGTAGCAGTACACCATATTAACTCCAAGGCCAGCTATGGATCTGAATATTGACAGGCTGATAAACCTGTCTACAAAAAGAAAAGGTATTTCATCATCCCACAGGAAAGAAGAGAGTAGAAAGCACCAATGAAGCAGTTTTTCCTATTAGCTTTGACATGGTGATAGCCAAAGCAACATACGAATCTCGGTAAAGGCCGTCAGCTTTACAATAATATTGTCTATATGTTTTGAGTCACATATTTATGGATTATAGTAAATTCTGCATTTCATGCATGTTGCTAACAGACATTGCATGTCAGACATTTCCTTCATTAAGTTTTCTCTTTTTTAAAATGCATATCTAATTCAGCAGGTGACTAGCTTAAGCATGCTAGTAGTGAGCAATCTTGGGCTAAGACATCCTCTCTGTGCTAATGGATAGCAGAGGGAGCAGGCAATCCAATGGGCAACCAGCCAATGCATCATCTTTACTAGCATCTCCGATGCTAACTCCAGTGTGCGTGTCACTAATAGAACAGTAGCTACAGAACGGATATAGCCTTCTGCTACAAGGACATATCACCGCTAGTAGTCTTAATGTTGGCCCTAACATCTCACCATAGACATAATCCCAATGAGACATTATCTGTTTCAACATGGTTCTTGGCCACACTTAGACTAGCTTTTAGCTCATCAGTCTGATCAAAACTAATATCTAGTTCTCCTAAATGAAGGTGTCCAAAAAACTTCAACAAGTGACACTTTACTTTCCACAGAACCCCTCGTCAAAGAGCTGCACTGTCCTTTTAAAGACCACTTTGAGTACTTATTTTATTGAAATAATTGTTATTTGGATTAAAAGACACAAGATTGTGTACTTTAATGTTAATAATTTCATGGTTTTGAATTCTGTAAAATGACAAATTACTGAAATACCCTGAGATCTGGACACAGCTATGTGTCTTAGAAGCAAGTGGCAGACCATTAGCATTTTTTTCTACGAAAAAGATTCTGAACAAACTGAACTAAATATAATGAGCATGAAGCCAAAAATAACTTGATGAAAAATACTTTAGAAGCATGATTTATGTGTTGAGTAAAGCTAACTGAATAGATCCATTGTTGACTAGAAGGTGCAATACGAAGAACTAGGAGGCAGAACTAGACTCTGGCACAAAAACAGAGAAGTGGGTGTAAGGTACTGTAGATAGGCAGGTGAGTACGTGTGAAAGTTAACAACCATTTATTGGCATGCACAGTAACAGGGAAGGAACCCTGCCAGCACAGAATGCTTCAGAGCTCTCAGCATGCAACACGGTGGCTCCAGCTCAGCCCTCAGAAAAGTTCAGCTGGCATGGGTGGGTGGGGGGTTGGGGTGGGGGCTGTCAGTAAAACAAACAGAAAGCACAGACCGTAAAGGTGAAAGAGAAGGGAGGAGGAGGGTCATAGAGGTGGTGGGTTGGAGGGGGCATCAGCCAGTGACATCACAGAGCATTCCATGCAAAAATTACCATTCATTTCTTTTTAATTATGGAACAGATCCTATCGACCCAGAGGGCGTCAGACTGAACCGAGAGTGAACAGCACTGTCCGCTAACACTAGACTGGCATTAACACGCCCAGGTACGATGATGAAAACGCTTGTGATTCACTAATTAGTGTGTCAGCCATGTTTTATAACAATAACCTTTCTCAGTGGCCTAGTGCAGAGTGTCCGCCCTCAGACTGGGAGATCAGGGGTTCGAATCCTGGTCGGGTCATACCAAAGACTTTGTAAAAATGGGACCCAATGCCTCCCTGCTTGACACTCAGCATTAAGGGGTTGGATTGGGGGGTTAAACCACCAAATAGTTCCCGAGTGCGGCTGTGTCTGCAGCTCACCGCTCCCCCAGGGGATGGGTCAAATGCGGAGAACAAATTTTGCACACACACCTGTGTGTGTGATAATTAATGGGACTTTAACTTTAAACACTGTCATTAAACCTCCAGAAGAATCAACATTGTTTTCTTGTCATTTTTTTAAACGCAGCATTGGCTGACCTTGCAATCACATGGATGTTACCTTTGACCTCTGACACCTGTCTGACATCTTCATCTGGCAATAATCAATAAACATGACCTCACAATCTGCAGGATCCAGAAGACTGACTTCAGTCTAGGATATCCCCATCCCCAGTTTTTCACATGTTGTGAGAAATTGCATTTAAGTAATGAGCTAATGGCTAGTCCAAGCGTCCTGCTGTTGTCTTAGTAAAGCTCTGGTTTAGTGCTTGCTGTGGTTGTTGCGGGTGTTGTTTTATAACTTTTTCACTGTCATAAATTTCACATTGGAATAATGTTTTATTTTTGCCTAAATACTCAGGTAAAACTGACGTAAAGGTTTATAAAACACAATTCACAGGAATCTTTGTAATACTTCAAAGACTGGAGCCGTTTTAAGATGCACCTTGGTCTTGGCTGCACTCAAGCTAGTTTTTAGCTCATCTGCATTCAATCAATAATGCTAACCTTCCTGTCAGAGCGGTTTACTCTGAAGCATTTGACCTAAGAGCAATTATTAAAGTGAAATGAATCATCAACAGGATTTCTAGGATGTATAAGTTCATTGCACCCACAGATTAGAGCCCCTATGATGTCACAGACTAGTAATGTGTGGTGACTAAGTTAGTTAAGACACCCGGGTAAAGAGGACACAGCTGTTCACCCTTGGTTGTCTCCTTCCCATCTTGCCTGCCCGTTCTGCTACTGGACAATAAGGCACTCACCAGTACATAGTAGTAAGCATACAGTGCTGCCAGATGGTGAACTACAAAAAACTTGTCGCCTATCGCCTTCCAATAGTAAAATATAAGCAGCAGGTCTGGAAAACAGACAAACAGGACAAAAAAAACATGCTGTTGTTATTTTAATGTGACTATAATCACAATAGCTGGTTAATCTGTATAAACCTGTTTCCACTATTGGAACTCCCGGGTAATTTTACCGGACTTTCATGGCATGCACGTGTATCCATTTCAGTGGGACGGTCTGAAAGGATCCTTTTCTGGGTCATTTCAGGAACCAGCAGGGCACCAGAACCAGGGTATGTAATCATAAAGGCCCGGTGGGATCTCTGAGCGGGCATTTTGAAAATCGAAAAAGCTGCTGGTGAAGCGGAGACGGAGGAAAATAAAATAGCAGAAATTATACTGCTTTACAATAGCTGTTCTTAAACTTCTAACAGCAGAAATCCCGCCAACGCCGTTATTTACAGAGCCGTGTGGTCTCACAAAGATCCCCGTCCCCTGAATGGATTCAATTACAGCGCACTCTGACACGCCTTTCAGTGCTGATCAGTGCATCACTTACTGCTGAAGCAGTGAAGATACGCCGACATCCTAGCAAAGTCCTTAAAGGACGACTTTGTATAGAGACACAACGACTGAGAGGGCCGAGCCGTCTTGTCTCTCAGTCACTTTTGTCCCTTCCAGAAATTTCCCGGAACTCATACAGTGGAAACATGGCTTCTGTTTGACTTACCGGATATGAGGTAGCCTGTTGTGATTGCAACATTAGTCTTCACCCATGTAGGATCTCCCCTGTTAGGAAAAGGGAAAGAAACAAATTCATTTTCTTTTACTTTAGGGAATAAGCTTAAAAGTGTAAGATTTCACATTAAATACACACATCACTCATATCTACTGAAGGTCTTGGTTTCAAAAGAGTTAGAAAATAAAATGTAAACCACCAAGTTCTTTGCTAACCTTTAACCCTGCGCCCACACCGCTACAATAAGGTTAAAATCTGGGAGAGCTGTTGAATAACCTTTATGAATCGCTCTGTTTGGACCAAACCAGCTGCGGTTTGGGATTGAACGGATCAAATTCTGATCAAGGTGATGTTGGGAAGTCAAAAACACTCTCACCAGACTGGGTCTTCATTCACGGCATCGTCAAAGAGCAGGATGCAGAGGCAGAATATTCCCACCAAAAGCGCGTGGAATGTCGACACTGTCCTGAAATGACAGACGGGACTATTACACATGCTGACATGTCAGATAACTTTTAAATAAAACGTTTTATTTATTTTTAAATGTGCCTCGGAGCTGCTCATGCTTTTGAAAGCAGATTTTTTTTTTGTTTCAGCCCACGCTGTGGATCTACTAATTGCTTGTCACGGTTGCACACAGATTCAGACCAATTAAGACAAGAGAGATTAAATACTGCTGAAGGGTCAGTTAGAGTGGCACAAAGTCCCAGAGTCAGTCATTCACGAAGCGAGACAGTCCATCAGTTCTCCGACTCCAAGTCCATTCATCTCTACAGGGATCCCCAAAGCTGGGATCCATCACCGCTCTCATTGGCTCGCAACCCGTGTGACTATTTCAGTTTCACAAGTGCTCTCATGAGTAATGAACTGAGATAAGGAAAAGGGAGAGCAGTGCATGCTGGTTAACTCTGAGCACTCTTATGTGGCCTTAAAGTCGCAGCTTTGACTCAAGAAGCTGCAACGTTTGTGATTCCCCTGCAATGTGGCAACACCTAAAAATATCAGAAGTTCATTAGTTAATGTTTCCCATCCTGCATCCATGACTTCACCGGGTTTCATGCTTCCAGCGGTACGCTGTGTTAACACTGCAAAAACATGCTCTGTGTCCAACACATGAGTCAGACACTGGTGTCGCAAGAAATCTGTGGGAAGAATGACAGCGCGTAACTTTGGACCCAGCCAACACGAACCCCCGTCTGGTGCTCCACCCATGTGCGTTTACCTGGAGTTCCACTCCACCTTCTGCTTGTTGCTGAGGCCCGAGAAGCCTGTGCTGATGTGTGTGGACATCCAGGGGCTGACTCTGTGGAAGAGCCACTGGAAGGTGAAGAAGCTGGTCACCGCGATGGCGAGGATGAGCTGGCTGAATGGGTCCATGGCCACCCAACCCCTCTGAGAGAGGACAAAGAGGAAATTATAAACAAGCTGGTAAACTCAGGAAGATGCTTTCAGTTTAATCCAAAAGTGATCGCTCCTGTCTGCCAGCAAAGCACAACAGCAATGGAATGCGTTATCACTGGTGTAGTCACAGATGGCCTGAACACAACATGTCACCAAAATGTTCTCCGAGCCACAGATGGAGCTGCTGGTGAATCCTCTTCCTTCCGAATCTGGCCTCAGTCACTGTCATCGGCTATGAGTGTCACTGAGTCACCACTATGAAGGATCACCTCAACCCCACAGAGAAACCAGGTCATGCTTAGAGGCGAGAGTTCAAGTCTAATCAAGTCAGTTTTGCTCTTTAACCTGATGCCGTGAAATAATTACAAAATATAAAACTTTTTTCTGGTGAGCTTAACAATTATTTTTCTTAGTCATTGACTGCTTGAGCTCGTTAGCCTAGAAATCTAGACAAACCATAGCAGTAGCAAAAGATTTAGCTCTGCAGGCTGGTCTAGCCACATTCCATTGTACGTTTAGGCTGGGTCAGTAACAGCGCACTATGTTTGTAGCGAGATTTTGGGCTGGATTAGCACCATTACGACAGACCTGCAGTGCAGCAAAACTACAAAAATGGCAGCAACTCGGGATCGTTTGAAACAGTATTGGCATCAACAGAGGATGATTTAGACTTGGACTTTTATTGAGACATGAGAGGTACTTCATCTGCTTTTTCAGAAGTGTATATTTTCTTCGCTATAAATACTTCACGTTGTTTTTTGCTTTGATTGGTCAGAGTGCTGTCCAATTGCATGCAGAGACAGTGTGAAAGACAACTGTTGTTTCCAGTCTTTGTTTTCAAATTTTTATAATTCACAAACTTAATAAGTGGAGAAAAGCTGTTTCCACCCGGACCATTTTACACGTGACACACTCCAAACCTAATCACTTTAATGTGATTACTTGTTGCTTTAGTGGGTTAACATTAGGGATGACCAATATATCGGCATCAATATCGGTATCGGCAGATGTTAGTCATTTTTTACGTATCGGTCCGATAAATAAACTTGGGCCGATATCAACAACCGATATTTTTTCCATCTTGTTTCCATTTGTTTATCTGTTTCAGAGGGTGTGTGTGTGTGTATTTGTTTAGTCATGTGACAGTGATTGTCATCATCTCAGAAGCGTAAATGTGTGCGTACATAATAACGTAAATTCAGCTTTAATAATTTTCATTCCACAAAAAATCTGATGATTTTAGAAGCATTAATGTCAGTATATCAATATCGGCCCAAAAATTTAATATCGGTGCATCACGAGTTAACATAATGTAACAGTAGGTTGGTTAATTTCCAGCTGGTAATATGCTAGCATTACTAGCGTGTGTTAGCATGAGTTTGCTAATTGTTGGGTACAACTCATTTTCTGCTTTCAGCCTCAAGTTTGAAGTTAACACAAATAATCGTGATAAAATAATTATTTTAACTTAAAAATGAATCATGGTATGATGTTTATGAGAAGGAAAAGGGACAACAATCATTCAGCTGAATATTAAAGTTTTTATCTGATGTTCTCATCTAAAACTAAGAACAACGACTAAGCCTGCTCTCCACACTGGTCATGAAATGTTTACCAAGACATACGTCAAACTGCAAGGCTTACAGAACAAATTTAGTTCATTTTTTTTCCTAGAAGCTCAGACAGAGTTTCCAAGAATGCTAGTGAGAAGCAGCTGCTCCATCTCTGCTAACTCCAAATATGGTTACGACTCGTTGCCCTGGATCTGAGAAAGCAGAGAGGTGTTACAAAACGTTTACTAAGTCATGACTTTCTAATTGCTCCGATGCACAATCGAGACCTTTTGTTTGTTTTTCTAAAGCTAATTACAATAAAAAGTATGGTGAGTTTATTGATTGACTTTATAAAGTGTGGATTAAAGTTGGAGTTTTACGTCTTTTAAAACTAGGCAGGAAACTTGTGATGAGCGTACATGAGCACGAATAAAACAGATCAGGTTAAGTTACATTTTAACAACCTACTCAGAAGCCAGGCTGCAAATCCTCTCTGGTGAGTGCATGTGTGTGCACGAGCATGTGTGTGTGTGTGTGTGTGTTCAGTGAGCTGAAAACAGACAACAAAACACAATCATTAAATATAATTCAGCTCTGTGTGGAGGGATTGTTGTGGCACACCAGAAACCTGTCTAAACCACATAAAACTGGGTGAAAGGCGAGTTTTCAAATGACAACATGGATCCAAAATTAGCAGCTGTGTGAACTCTGGCTGGTGGTCAGTAAACGTAAGCCTGAGACTGAACTCCACAGAGTCCACTGACCTGCTCTGTGGAGTTTTTGCTCTGGTTTTTGCATCATTTCACTGGTGAATGAAATCAAATTTAATTGCCGGGACTTGAATTTGCAGATGCAACATATTTTTTAAAAGTGATGTCCTTTTCATCTGCATATATTTGAACGTAGCGTGATTCAGATGTTAAAGGCTCACTGGCAGAGGGACTGAGATGAGCAGGACTTGTTTTACGTACACGTTTGCACGTTTGAAGCCCACAAGTGCAACACAGGATCTTGTTGCCAAGGGTAAATGGTGACAAAGGTCAACATGGGGTACAAGAGAGAGAAAACAGCCTGGTCCTGGAGGTTCAAGGAGCAAGTGAACACAGATGCCTGAGGGGGGTTCAAATCAAAGTGAAGGCAGGAAATGCTTCAATAAAATAATCACTTTCTTGAAGGTGGATTATTTTGTGATTGGTGGATAAAACTTCAAAAGTGAAACGGTGCAAACTGAGTAAAAACATCCACAATGCATCCATTTGAAGCACATTAATGCATTAAAATGACCCAAAATAAGACGATTCTGTGTTTTATGACTAAATTAGTTTGTTCTCCAGCACCACCTTTTAGACATTTCATATGTGGTTACGAGAAAAAGGTGAAGTGCGCTTGCGTAACGCAGGATCTCACAACGAGGAAACGACAGTTGAACGAAAATAACTCATGATTTGTGTAAGACGTGTCAACCTTTAGACATCCGCGTTACCTGCTGGTCGCTGGAGCTGCTCTGATCTTTTATTTCTGGTGTAAATAGACGCGCGGAGGTACAGTTCACGCCGCAGTGGCCGTATGGTTCTGTTCTGGAGGAATCAGGCTGGCCTAGTGGGTCTGTGTGCAACCCACACAACAGGGACTGATGTGAAAACACACATTTTTACATATAACACACACACACTCACCCTGTGACTTTCATTCAGATAATTTGCGTCTCGCTCTCACAGCTGATTATGGTTTCCAGGGCTGCTCGTGTGCGTTGAGTCAAAGCTACAACCATCATCTCGATTCATCTTTTTTTATTATTGTTATTATGAAGATAATTATAGAGAAGAGCCAGCGATTCTCTCTCTCTCTCTCTCTCCTCCGCGGCAGCTCTGAAAACACCGCCAACAGTGAACCGACAGAAGGATGTAGTCCGGAGCCTGAGGCGGGTTCTGCCGCTGTGTTTACCGAGAATCCCGACCGACAGGAACCGAGCAGAAATGCTGCAGAGGTGCAGATCGTGCAGCTCGACGTTCGATTTACACAAGTGATGAGGGGGGGTCGAACGGGCAGAGGGGGGTGGAGTTGAACGGTTCTCTGAGCTCGAATTACAATCTCAGTTCTTAAAGCTACACTAGATAGAAACGCATTGGCGTGCGCGCGCACACACACACACACACACACTCAGGCCAAATTACATCTAATCAAACGGCAGATTTTGATCCCAAAGAAAAGGTAGCTTCCTATAGGGATGTAAGAAAATATCGATATGACAATATATCGTGATATTTTTTCCTGCAATATTATATTTATATTCCAAAGCTTTGTATCTGATTTTTGGAAGATTTTACATGAAAACATTTGTGTATTTTCTTTTCTTTTGGTGCAATTCAAATGCCGACCACTCATTGGCAGCAGCGTACAGTGGGTTTTGTGTCCACCATTGAAATGTAAATCCCTCTGTTATGAACTTCAGATATTAAACATGTTAAGTATAAGTTTGGACTGTTTATTGAATTATCCTACAATACATTCAGTCTTAAAAAATAGCTAACGTAAGCCATATGATGTACTCTTTAGTAAATAAACAAAAAGAATACAACTGTGGAGCGCCGAACCGAAACATGTGTGAACTTAGATGAGGGTTGGGATCTGATGTAGCTTTATCATTAATGTAATCCAGGGCCATGAACGTCACTTAACAGGATGAGTTTAAAAAACATATGAAACAAAAGAAGGCAAAAATATAAATGAATGGTCATTTATGAGAAATATGTGTGTTGTACATGGTAGAAGCTGCTGAGCTAGCTATTCAAAGTGAAATACACGTGGCATTATGGATAACATCCTGTCAGAAACCTGCAGGTCTATCGGGTTTTTGACTTGTTTGCCAACATGCTGACAGATCAGTGTCACTGTGGTAATCTAAAATGACATACTTAATTATAAACTCGACTAGTGCATTGCACTGTATGCTGGCCTTAGTCAGGGTGCGGTAGCACGCTTGCAGTTTGTACAAAACTCAGCCGCTAGGTTCGTGACATGCACTAGGAGCAGGGAACATATCACCGCTGTGTTGGCATCCCTTCTTTGGCTGCCTGTGCAATACAGGGCAAAATTCAAGGTCTTGGTACTGGCATACAAGTTCTTACAAGGAACTGCTCCAGCATATCTTGGCAATCTTTTGCATAGGCATGCCCCCTCGCGGGCCCTTCGCTCAGCCGGCAGGGAGCTGTTGATCGTTCCACGCACTAAGTGCAGGTCACGGGGGAACCGTGCGTTCTCTGTGTGTTGGCATCTGCACCTTGGAACCAGTTGCCTTTGGTGGTGCGTCAGTCACCCTCAGGGTTTTTAAGACTCGCCTTAAGACCCATTTTTTGTCAAGGCATTCCAGGATTAGCAAATTTTACCCAGTTTCGATGCCCCGGCCTTTTAATCTTTTTCAGGATTTTATTTTTTGCTTTTACACTCCTCTTTTAATTGATTTTATTTTGGTTTTATGATTGTTATATTTTATTCTGATGGTTTTTATTGTGTTGTGTTCAGCACCTTGGGCGTGTGCATTGGTCGCAGAGGGGGCTTTATAAATAAATGAAATGAAAATGAAATAAACACACAGGGATTTGAGAAAAAGCTCAAAAAATTGAATAATAGCTAATTATTTCCATCTCAGCCAATTAAATGTAATGAATAGGTGAAAAAGAAGTATTTGTAGGTAAAATTTTAAATAAACCCCTGTTTATGTGCATTTTGGAACACATTGCTTTTTGTGTCCCATAAAAATATTTAGGTGAATCAGTGCTGCTCATCAGATCAAACTCTTACCAAGCAAAAGTGCACACTGATGCTGTGGTTACATAAGGATGCTGCAGTGGTGCAGCTGTCACCTTATTTCGCTCACTGAGGAAATTTAATAACACAAACTGACCTCCGCTGCGTTCAAAACATAGCAAATCAAAAGGTTAGTCAAGGTCGGTAGTGAGATAGAGAGAGGAGAAACTGTTACTGTCTGAAACAATCGTTTGAAGCCCCACTGCCATCGGACCAACCGGTGGTGCTAGGGGCGTTTACAGATATATATGCCTCAGCAGACTCATCTTCTTCAAGTGATGGTGTTACGTTTTTTTTGGGTGTCGTTACGTTCATGACTGTATCATACATAATCATTTGTGCACCTTAAAATCCGTTGTACTGCGTGTAATGCATGTAAATTCCACATTTTATGATGTAGCTTGTCGTCTTTCTGCACGCAGTGGCTTATGGGTAACTACACTGACCAATCAGATTTACGATAATATGGTCACGTTATTTAACAGGAAGTTTGTTTTTGTTAAAGCCTCCAGACACTTTCCTTGATTGTAGGGTTTTTAATTCACTTTTGTCTGTTCAGTTTTTTATTTATGTCCAACAAACGTATTTTTCTAAAGTAAATGATTTATATTTGTATTTTTCCAGATAAAACAAAACAGCTTTATTTAAATTTACATTGTGCCAAATGTACTCGACTGGGAAAGCCAACTCCGGGTCGGGAGAGAGGTCCTACCTCAAGTGGAGGAGTTTAAGTATCAAACAATCAATCAATCAATCAATCAAAGCTTTATTTATAAAGCGCCTTCCGCAACCCTGTCAGGAAGCCCAAAGCGCTGAACATGGTACAGTTGTAGGTAAATATATTGAGTAAATCAACAATAAAATCAATTCAAATTACAAAATACTAATTACAAAATACAAATTACAAGATAGATGAAACATTCTGGTACAGGACAAATGTGTGAAACACATTTGGATTGAGTGGATGGATTGAGTGAACCAATGAAAACTGTGAAATAAATTCAACATAAAAGAGGGCCAAAATCAAACATGTTCTGGAAGCGCCAAGCGGAGGAGGTGTGTTTTTAGGTGACTCTTAAAGACTGGCAGAGATGGGGACAGCCTAACTGAGGGTGGCAACTGGTTCCAGAGTAACGGTGCTAGGACTGAGAAAGCCCGGTCCCCACGGGTACGACACCTAGAACGAGGGACAACGAGCAGGCCTTGGTCAGAGGAGTGCAGAGCGTGTGATGGGGAATGTTTGTTCAGGAGAGTGGCCAGATAGGGGGGACCACCACCCTGGAAGAAATGATAAACAAAGACGAGGATTTTGAATTGTGAGCGATAGCAAATCGGAAGCCAGTACAGGGAGGCCAGAGGCCAAGTATCTCTGGGTCTTGTTCAGAGTGAGGGTAGGAGGGATCGGGAGATCGACAGGCGGATTGATTCAGCATCTGCAGTGATGCGGACGCTGAACCGATCTGTCGTGGTGAAGAGGGAGCTGAGCCAGAAAGCCAGGCTCTCGATTTACCGGTCGATCTACGTCCCAATCCTCACCTATGGTCATGAGCTTTGGGTAATGACTGAAAGAACGAGATCGCGGATACAAGCGGCCGAAATGAGTTTCCTCCGTAGGGTGGCCGGACATTCAGGAGGGACTTGGAGTAGAACCGCTGCTCTTCCGGATCGAAAGGAGTCAGTTGAGGTGGTTTGGGCATCTGGTCAGGATGCCTCCTGGTCCTGGATGCTTCCCTGGGGAGGTGTTTCGGGCATGTCCTGCCGACAGGAGACCCCCGGGTCGACCCAGGACATGTTGGAGAGGTTACATCTCCAATCTGGTCCGGGAACGCCTTGGGGTCCTGCCGGAGGAACTGGTGGAAGTGGCCGGGGAGAGGACAGTGGAGCTCCCTAGTTGGGATGCTGCCCCCGCAACCCAGACCCGGATAAGCGGAGGAAGACGACGCCGACGCCAAATGTAATTTAAAAAGTTTATTCAAAGTGACAAAGTAATACTTTCACACAGTTTGTGATACATCTGACATTACCAGTTACTGCCATGTGGAGGCGCAAGATGCCACCAAATCTGAATCTGAGCGTTTGTTATCTCATGAGCTGTATTAAAAAACAAATGATGAATTATGTTTGTTTTGTTTTTAAAATATAAATGCACAAAAATACAGTGAAGCATGAGTTATTTTAAGAGAAAAACAAAGACACAAGAAAATAAAATGATAAATCATGAGTTACTTGTTTGGAACAAGCTTAAGTTTTATTTCCTAAAAAAATAGTCAAGATGTGAACATTGACTTAATTAAACTGTGTATTTACATATTATAGCTGTCATTCTATTAATAAAACAGCCAGAAATCTAAATGAGGTAGAATATATTTACTTTATAGTGTAATTTTGATTTGCTCTGCACACGGCTGAGATTGTGGCATCAACCTACTTCCTAAGAAAGTGTAAAAAATACGACAAAAATGAAGAAATGTTCATGTTGGATTAAGAAAAGAACCTGTTTATTTGTGCCAAGTATAAAGAGCAAGTCACCCCCGACCAGATTCTTACTCAACTCCCACTTCCTGTTTGAAAAATGCAACAAATGCTGTAACCTAGCAGACCGAGAGGGTGGAGTTGCTAACAAATACACACACTCACGACATTGTGACATCATAATGTACCATATAACATCATAGGGTACCTTTTAGCCAATAGCGATGGCAGATTTAAATTCAAATGCAGTGCTGAGTTTTTGCCTGACGACGGTGCATCGCAGACAGTTTTAGGCAGAAAATTTAAATTTGAACTAAGATGCACTAAAGTGCCGAATTATTGACTACATTTGTCTACAGCATGATCAGACACTCATTTATAGTTTATCAGCAAAAAAATGTTGATTTGGAGTGACTTGCTCTTTAATAGTGGCATTAGTTTGTTGTGAGGTTAAAATGTCTTCAATCAGCTCAAAACTGACATTTTAGGACTTGCACAATAAAAAGGTATGATATACCGTTTATTATATATATGAAAATACAAAATTAAGATACATGCACTGATGATAACATAAATACAGAAACATAAACAAATGAAAACAAAGAAGAAACTCAGGGAAACATCCACAGTAACAATTTCATAAAATGGTAAAAACAAAAATGATTTGCATTTATATTCAACTCAGATATACATTATATAACCAGGACATAAATTTTGGTACATATTTTAAAAAAATCTAGAAATAACACAGAAGACAAGATAATATATGTTTTTATCAGCTGATTTACAGCTTTATTGCTCACGGTAAAATAGTCAAACATTTAATTAGTGGTAATAAATTCCACATACTGAAAGCTTGTGGATAAAAACAGCATAATAAACAATTATTTTTATACCAGTAAATAAATGTACCATAAATTCATCAGCATGGAGCGCAAAGCTCCCAAAGCACATAAAAATACTAATACACCATCAAAAATTACGAACTTTTTATTGAAGCTGGATCTTATGTCATTATATTATAAAAAACTACCTTCAGCAATGAAACAACATGCACAAGTATCGTTTTGTGCTTGTGTAACTCAAGTCAATAAGATAAAGTTGTTAAATTTGAACAGTTCTTTGGTGACAAATCCAGCACTTTGGATTGATTTCAAAAAGACAATAGTGATCAATTGCAACAAAATAAACTCACGCTTCTACCTCTGTGAGGCACAGAAAATAGGCACTTAAGTATCGCATGATGCAAAAGATGAGCATAAGCTCACGCTTCTACCTCTGTGAGGCACAGAAAAGAGGCACTTAAGTATCGCATGATGCAAAAGATGAGCATAAACTCACGCTTCTACCTGTGAGGCACAGAAAAGAGGCACTTAAATATCGCATAATGCAAAAGATGAGCATAAACTCACGCTTCTACCTCTGTGAGGCACAGAAAAGAGGCACTTAAGTATCGCATGATGCAAAAGATGAGCATAAACTCACGCTTCTACCTCTGTGAGGCACAGAAAAGAGGCACTTAAGTATCGCATGATGCAAAAGATGAGCATAAACTCACGCTTCTACCTCTGTGAGGCACAGAAAAGAGGCACTTAAGTATCGCATGATGCAATAGATGAGCATCTAAATAAACATGAACACATAAAAGATGTAATTAGAAATCTAAAAGTTACATTTTTAATGTCATTTATTGCGAGAATTATTTAAAAACCAAAATATTCTCTTTATTTTTGTCATTTCTAGAATTATTCATGTAGAAAAATGGCCACATATGTTATTAGCAAATATTATCCTCTTTCTTTCATCTAGGACTTGTCTCAAACAAGAGTAAAATTTTGGTTAAAAAAATAAAAGTATGAATTAAGATGCTGAAAAAGGAATTTAAAGTCACAAAAAGACATCGGACATGTTTGTTTTTGAGCAATTCCATCAGTTTCCTAATAATACAATAAAATTAAGATCAGTTTGAGTGTATTAGAGCATCAGTCCATCGGAGCGGCGTTTCCCTACACCATGAACTGGCTGTACCCTTCGGCTCCCGTTACAATCACATCCATCCAGATCCTCATAGCCTCTGGCGATGGGGCGACCATGTAGTACACCCTGTCATGAGTCTTCACACTGAAGGTCAGGGAGGGGTTTGGGCTCTAGAGGAAAACAAGAGGATAAAAGTAAGATGAAAGAAAAACAAAAAATCGTAATAAAGAATTTCAAGTTGTCTGACTAAATCAGATAAACGCAGCATGGCGCAGACCTTATGAGCGCTCTTCAGATGATCGTAATAAACTTCTTCAATAGCTTGGAAGTAAATCACACCTTTCAGCTTGGCTTCATGTTTGTCTGCAGAAGATGCAGCAGTTTTAGGTGAGACATTTCTTCTTTGTGTGCATTAAACGATGCATGAGTGAAACAGTTATCCCACCTGAGTAGTAGGAGAGCGTGCGTCGGTTGCGGTCGAAGACAAACCAGCGTTTCTTCCAGGTTTTGATCTTGCCTCCCATCTTGACCAGGTAGCCTCGGCAGGTCTTTTCAGAGATGGATAAGTGGAAGCAGGTGTCCGCGCTGTGGCCCGCTGACTCGATGTGAGCCCGCAGGTCAAAGTCGTCCTTTCTTACTGGCAGGTAGCGAGTTAGCGGCCGAGCCTGGAGGGAAAGCAGTGGAAAGGCCAACGAGAGGAGGGTTTGTTTAATGGCGGCCATCTGTTTAGAACTTTTGGTTTTCCTGAAATTCAGCCAACGTATACAAGTTTCATAATAAGCTGTGTGAGTCTTTCTTCTTCAAGTGGAAACAGAAAGCACATGATGAAAATAGGGAGAGGAGGTTATCTGTAGGAATAAAATCAAACATTTGCAAGTGAGGTTCACCCAGAAACCGGTTTTTAGTTTTTAGTTTTGAAATACGATCGGTCACTCAAGAGTTTCACATGCTGGCTGAACATGAAAATAGTCTTCTACCGTATTTCCTGCGTCAGCTGCTGATAGAAAGGCTCGGGTCAGAAAAAGTCCCAAAGACCTACGTCACACTGAAAATTCATGGAGTCACCCATCTTGGATCACAACGAGAAAAGCTGTGTTGATTATACCAGCTCAGTGGGCTAGGTTAATGAGTGTCCACCCTGAGACTGGGAGATCGTAGGTTCAAATCCATGATCAGGTCAGACCAAAGACTTTTAAAACAGGATCCAATGTCTCCACGCAGCATTGAGGGATTTGATTGGGGGGTTAAACCACCAAACAGTTCCCGAGCACTCCCCTCCAGGGCGTGGGTCAAATGCAATTCAATTCAATTCAATTCAAGTTTATTTATATAGCGCCAAATCACAACAAGCGTCGTCTCAAGGCCCTTCACATAATAAACATTCCGATACAGGTCAGTTCATTAAGCCAATCAGAAAAAAGTTTCCTATATAAGGAACCCAGCAGGTTGCATCGAGTCACTGACTAGTGTCAGTGACTTTACAGCAATCCTCATACTAAGCAAGCAAGCAGCGACAGTGGAGAGGAAAACTCCCTTTTAACAGGAAGAAACCTCCAGAGGATCCTGGCTCAGTATAAGCAGCCATCCTCCACGACTCACTGGGGATCGAGAAGACAGAGCACACACACACACACACACACACACACACACACACACACACACACACACACACACACACACACACACACACACACACACACACACACACACACACACACACACACCAAGTAACGTTTCTATGGTTACATTGTGATTTCTTAGTAAATATTCTATTTGGCGAGAAATAAACTTTATTGTATTAATCCTAGTGAATCTATAATTAAACGGGTAAACTAGTAGTAGCACCAGTCAATGTCAAGAAAAGTTAATATTATCAGGAGAGGGAGAATGTTTAAATCAGTGGTTCGCAAATAGCGGCCCACGGGCCCTCTCTTTGTGGCCCCCAAACCCCGCGCGCACCCCCACCCCCAACGGCCGACCGGGAGGTGTAGGTTAGATAGAGATGAGGAAAATAATCAAATAATCAATGCATGAGATGCGGGCATAAATGGTTTTGCATCATAGGAAAGTACCTTAATCAATTATAGTGGAATGTAGTTGTGTTATTTTAATGGCGGCACCAGCGCAGCATCCACATCTGTCAGTTCTCCACATTTACCGGGTAGGAAACTTTGGTCTGCCTTTATGTGGTACTGCAGGCCTGAGCGCTGGAGTTATAACCTGAGACCAAACCCGAATCGAATCAGCCCGATCGGTTCTGTTGGATTTGGGCTGTAAATTATGTTAATTGAGCGGGTTGTCGCGCTCCGCTCGCTCGATCAGCGACTGAGAGAGAGAGAGAGAGTCTGCTCACACAAGAGAGAGGATCGGAGGACGCTCCTCCAAACACGTTATTATTTTCATAAGTTCATTATTGTTTCTCCTGGAAGCGCTCAGTCAGACCGAGTGCTGAGATGTCGGGAGATCCGGTCTTGGGGAGGGAGCGGGGTGAGTGACGGCGGCTGCAGCGTAATCATCTGTGTCTTTTATTTAGGGACACGGAGAAGTTAAAAGGAGAGAGAAATAGAAGATAGAAGTTCTTGTTCCACTTCATTCTTTTGTTTCATGATGATAAACTGATGTTAAATTCAGCTTAAAGAGAAACTGGGAGGAAGCTTTGGTTCATTTTAAGTTACAGGAGATCTTGTCTCCCATCTGCTCCTCCAGAGACAGCATGGACATGAGGGTTACATGGTGAGGGTCACACAGGACTGGTTAGTGCAGTCACACAGCCGAGCTGGAGGGGGACAGGTGTTGTCCTTCTTTATATTGCAAGCTTGTGTGTTATGTGCATTACAGCCAGCCCCCGGCCCTCTTGCTTCTGGGTCTTTTTTGTGACCATTGTAATTGAGGACCCCTGGTTTAAGTGGTTAGCAACAGTGTTCATGACGATGGCCCCTCCATGAGGCTACCACAGCTCAGCAGATCATTGTAGCTTCTTCTGCTCTACTGGGCTGTATCTTTGACTTTACCTGTAAGCAGTGGTGGGATGTAACAAAATACAAGTACTTTGTTACTGCACGTAAATACAATTTTTTTGTATCTGTGCTTTACGTTAGGTCATTTCCTTGAGGCCTGCTTTTTACCTTTAGCCTACAACATTATAATGCTATTATCAGTACTTTCTACTCAACTACATTTTTAAAAGTTTCAAAAGTAAAAGTTCTTTAATTAGCTTTTTTGTTTAAATCCCACCCCCATTCCAACAGCACAGTTCTACTCACTCAATGCATATTTTAATGTTAGTTGAATACATAAATTTTTTTAAGTACATTTGCTTTAATATTTTTACTGAAGTCAAAACATTTCTCGATACTTCTACTTTTACTTGAGTAAAAAATAATCAAGTACTTATTCCACCACTGTGATTAAGTATCCAGGAGAGAGTAGAGCGTGTCTCAGCTAGGATAAGCTAACTGTTAGAATTAGCAACAACATGACAGAACTCCATCTGGGTTGTGTTATTTACGGAGATAAAACAACGTTGCAAAGCAAATGGAGGCAGCGGAAGAGTTGCATTGCCATCAGCTAATCAGAAGCTAGATGTTCAAATATCTGACCCCCTGCTCCTCCGACTAACTTCTACTTCCAGAAACAGAAGCGCCAGAGCTTTTTTCCCACAGATAATTACTCACAAGGCATTCATTATACTAGAACCAAGCAGGCAGTTTTTTCTGTCTCACCTGTGATCTTTGTTTTTCCCGCAGTTTTACTTCACGGTCGATGAGTTTCTGGCGTCTGCTCGTCTCTTCCTGTAACCGTTTCTCCAGGTCCTCTCTTCTTCTCCTCTCCTCTTCCAGGGCCTGCTTTCGTATTTCCATTTCTCGCTCCTAAAAGACAAAAATTAAATACAAGCTAAATCATATAAATACAAACCATCCGGGGAAAATGACACATGCTGACATGAACTCCAAGGAGGAAGTCACAACTAAATCTTTAACAACAGAGGAAATAAACAGCTGTACGTCATGTTTTTATGAACCTTGTGTTCCAGGAGGCGGTTCTTCTCAGCCTGCGCTTCCCTCAGCAGACGCTCCATCTCCTCCAGTCTGGCCACATTTGACGTGCTGGCACTGCAGCACACAAACAAAAGGAAACAAAGCAAAAGTTACAAAAGAAACTTTTCTTCTGCAGACCAAAAGCTTGGAAATTGACTCATAAAACACCAAAAAACAAACTAATATAGTCCAGTCATAGTAAGTTCTAGTTTCAAATAGTTCTGTTTAGCATTCCCTCTCCAGAGATTAACCCTGATTATTCACTGTTTATGCATGCTTGTGTGTGTGTGTGTGTGTGTGTGTGTGTGTGTGTGTGTGTGTGTGTGTGTGTGTGTGTGTGTGTGTGTTTCAAATGCACCGGCAGAGGAAGTCAGGATGTCAAAGCAATTACAAGAGTGTACCGTTTCATTTTTCCTGATAAACAGTCTCATTTTAGAGTCTCTGGGTCTGCAGATGGTCTGCATATGACAGGCATTTCTCACAGACATCAAAGACAAGGAGATTGTCTGCATATCTGAGTGTGTGAGGGGCTTTCTCACACACACACACACACACACACACACACACACACACACACACACACACACACACACACACACACACACACACACACACACACACACACACACACACACACACACACACACACACACACAGTTTTCTCTAATCTGGAGCCAGAAGGAAATGGATACTCTGTATTGATGTGTGATGATGTCATCCCCCTGTTAGGAGGAATGGTCCACATTAGAGACTCAAGTTTACACAAATCAGGGAGAAAACCAGTAACAGAAACGAAAGAACGACTGAGTGGGAGGAAAGGGAAAAATGAGGCAAAATTAAAAGCGTGCAGAAAACAGATGAATGTGTTTTCCTGCTCTTTGGTATTTTTTACAACTGTTTTGTTTCCGGTCTGAAGACCAGACACAAGCAAGAAATCAGCATGTTAGCTTCAAAATGAAATTGTACTTTTCCAAGTATGTATGCAAAATGAACTCAAACATCATTTACGTTTCAAATAACTCCTTATTAGCTGGCTACAGCAAATCTTCCTAATTAGCTTTGGCTAACGCTCTGTTTATCTTACCAAACTCGATGAGAGGAAACTGCACTCATAGTCATTGTGAAGCAGACCAGCTCAGAGCTTTAACCGATTCATTTATCTCGCTCCAACGCAGCATTTTCAAAAACAAAAATTATCCTTGAATAAAAACTAATTTCCATCGCTAAATAAGTTCTTAGTCCGATACACGTCCAGAAGCATGGCCTCTCTATGCAGGTACGATCCTACTGCAGAGGCAACACGGGTCCTTCTGCAGAACGGCTTCAGATCTGCTGAATCTGGCCCAGACCGCTGGGACAAACAAAACCAGAGGGAAAAACATGCAGGACTGTAAAAGGAGAGGGAGAACAAGCACACATGGTTTTAGTCCAAATGTCTGCACTACAACACACACATACACACACACACACACACACACACACCTTCATTTCTTCTGTAACCTGATCTATGAGCACCAATCAGCCCCCCATTTAACACACACAGTTCCACACTCTCCAAAGCGAACATGAAAGGCGGGAAACCTCTCCACATGCTTTCTACATTAACTCCCTCTCTAGTCTGCTGATGACTCCCATCCAGACCCAGAGTCCAGTTTCTAATATTGCAAACACACTTCTCTGTTATTTTCCTGTTTATTGCCTTTTTTACATCAGCAGACACAATCTAACACAAACACACCTGGAGACGTTGTCTGGTGTGTAAGCGGAGATGCTGGTTTCGATGGAGTCGCTGCTGTCCACACTCATGGTATCAAAGGCCTGGTTGTCACGGTAACCAAAGGCATCCAGGTAAACGTTGGTCTGGGAGGCTGCCCTGGAGCCTGACTGGCCTGAACACACACACAGCAACAACAGCGTTACAGATTATTTACACTTTCTGTGCATTTGCACCTTTGTTACCTGTTTCTGCTGCTCCTTCTGGGACAGGAGACCCAGACGGCCTCCCGTTCTCACAAAGCCCTGCCACTGTAACCTGTCCTTCTACACGATTCCGCAAAAACAATATTTACACGCCTTAACATAAAAATAGACTATAGATAAGTAGATGAAGTACAAACAATAATAAAGTAATAAAATTGGCAAAAGGGGTTTAAATGTATCCAGAATAAAAAGCGGGATATTTCCAGGGAAAAGGATGATGCCGAAATGACCAAACTCCAATTCTGCCTCTTGATACAGGAAAAGCCACACACACACACACACACACACACACACACACACACACACACACACACACACACACACACACACACACACACACACACACAGAGATACAATCAGACCCAGGCATGAGACACACCCATCAGATGAGCTTGATCAAGGGACCAAAGGGACTCTGGGACCAGACACAAGAAAGAACAACACTCACCAGCTTTCTATATTGTATAAAATATCTGCAGTGGCCTTCTAAAAGGTCAAATCTTGGGTTCTGATCATAATAGCTATGTCTCTGGTTCGGATTAAAGCGAGTGCACACAGAATTTACTCTAAAATGAACAAAACTTCTCTTAGTGATAGGTCAGCTAAAGACATGTACCACTGAGTGAACGACTTCAACGTAAACATTTGTATAAAAAGAGAAACCCTTCTACGTGCATTCCTCCACTATCTCCATCCACTGATAAACAAATGAGCAACAATTTCCCTAAATCATGTCAAGTAACCACCCACAACTAACAGCTCAAGCGTGGAGCCTAAAAACATTCAAAACACTGTAAAAAAGCAAACTGTTTGGTAAAACCTTGTTTTTGTTTTATTATCTGCTGCATGTTTATGGATGCATATGAAACATTGACCAAAGGAAAAGCCTAAAAAGCAGCAATAGACATTTTGGCTCACTGTGAATTTGTCATAATATGATCAGCTCTGATTGAACCATCTGAGGAAGAATGCTGAGTTTATTTTGCAAAAATGTCGAAGGCCTGAGGAAGAAAGGTCAGCCCTTCAGTCTAAGTGTGAAACTACGTAGCCATACTTTTTCATATTTTTAAACCATTTTCCTGAGCCAATGTAAGCTAAAAGGACCCTTTATAGGGTTAATGAAATGTCACTCAGACCCCTATGCCCTCTGTGGCCAGAATATCGCACTTGCAATGTCACTTTGTTTGATTTAGTGATGAACCACTCCTACAGAAACTAATGAAGGCTGAGGAGACATTTCAGCATTTTTAAGGTGTTAAACGCACAGCGAGGAGATACGTTTCACTTTTGGTTCTACTAAATAGACACTAGTGGGTTCTTAAAGCAAACCAAAACTGCCAAGTGCGCCTTTAATAGACCCTACACACGTAGGTGGGTATCCATAGAAAGGTCAGGGGCCATGCTTTGGCCTGCCATCCACAGAAGTAAAGATAAACGCCTCTATTGTCAGCATGTTCCTGTGCACATAAATTATCAGGGTTTACGGTTATGCTATCACCCACGTCAAAAATGATGACGTAAAGGATGGTTAATGCCCACGACCTCGTTATTCCTCATCCAAGGAGTGTTATTCGACACAGACGTAGACAATTCAGGGAACTACTGCCACCTACAGGCAGAAAACGAGGAGGTGTGAACTTTCTTACTATTCATTTTCACAAAAACCCGACTATGTGTGTACATAGCTTTAAACATCTTTGGTACGTTCTTGCTGTGTTTGACTTCTAATTACATTGTTGGTTCTTTTTTAAAACACAGGAAAGGTTTTTCTTTACCTTGCTGACAGTTTTGTTTGCGGCTGCAAACATCTTCAGAGCTGATGCTGATGGTGGCGTCACTTCCTACTCCATTTACTCATTGGATCGTGCACGGGACTGCATCATCGGAGAGGGGAGAGCGGGCAGCAGAGGGCAACAACGTCCTCTGCTGCCCGCGGATAAACGGAGTAGGAAGCAACGCCAACATCAGCGTCAGCTCTGAGAATGTTTGCAGCCGCGAACAAAACCATCAGCAAGGTAAAGAGAAACCTTATCTGTGTTTTAAAAAAAAACCAACAACGGTACTTAGCTTTACTTTGTAAATCTGTTTGTTTGTGTTTGTACCTTTTGGCAGACGTCGAGCTTCGCACTCTTTGCTGGACAAAGAGATAATTCTGGGAAGAATGCTGCCGCAGCTTGTGCTCTGTACCAAGGGCGGATGGGTCTGCGTACAAACACGAGGAGCTATGAAGTATGATGCTGTCATTGAGTAGGGCTTGTTCTGTCATGCACCTGTGGGTACCTTGTTTTGGAGGCTGCGGCCAAGAGTTGCACACATGAACTGGGGGTTCAGAGGAGGAACGGCTCTCTTCCTGGGTAAAGTATCACTCAGATTTGACCCGTCATCTTTCTCAGACTGCCTCTTCTCCTCCAGCAAACAGAAATGCTGCTCAAACAAGCAAAAAAATGTAAATGGTTATTAGTCTTTCATTCTGATTGATATCTTTGTTCACTCTAGTGCCACCTAGTGGCAGTAGAAGCAGTTGCCACCACACTGATAAAAGTAATCTCTAAATAAATAAAATTTATTCAATTTGTTTTTAATGTAAATGAAACAACTAGTGACATACACATAACCACACACGTTACCTGCCTGTGTCGCTGATGATGGTTTTTGACAGGAAGAGGGGGTGGGGGGGAATCGGGGAGGGGGGAGGGATCTCGATATGTTACCATGATCTCCGGCCAGTGCACCGAAGGTGGTTTTGGGAGGGGATGGGGGTTTGCATGGGAGGAAGAGGAAGAAGAGGAGGAGGAAAAGTGACAGTCGGCAGGTGAAGAAGAGTGACAGAGCTTTTGGGGGAAAAAAGAAAGAAACACCGTCAGAAAAGTGTGAAAGAGGGAAATACCAAGAAAGTTTAGGGGGAAGTACTCCGATTATCTCATCCACGCAAAAAAGTATAAAAAAACAACCTCACATCAGTACACACACCTCATCGTCCTCTGGTTTGGGAGTGTCGTCTTCCGGGGACTCAGGGAGGGCTTTGGTCAGAGGCGGGGGGGCAGGGGCAGGTTTGGGGTCCTGCCCCTGCCGTGAGTAAAGCTCAGTGATTTCACTGACAGTGACATAGCCCTGGAGGGTGTCAGGCGGAGAAGAGGGGAGAGAGAGAAAGGGTGAGGCAAAGCATCAAGTGGGTCGGCCACATTTTGCATATTAGTCATTAGAATCCGACACAGAACTGTTAAAACACACATTTATAATGACACCAGTTATTAAAGCTGTGCTCGTGATTATTAACATTAACAGACATCTTAATGATGCAGCAATAATTCACAAGAGACAGAAAGGAAGGAAGACTTCAAAAGTGCATCTGAACGATGAGGGGAATGAGGCGTGTGGAGGTCCAACAAGACAAAAGTACCTCAGCATTCCTGAGAAAAACAGAATAAAGGAGGGCATGGCACGCATCAGCCAAAGAGGCTGAGTCCTAGCAGGCAGAGAAGGAAACCCGAATAATCGACCACTTTTGAGTTCAAAGAGAAGAACTGTTCGACTTTTGTCTGAAAGCTGCTCATCACACCCACCTCCCTCTGGGAAAAAGTCCGGCCGCCGGTAAGGTCGGCATATTTTTTCTCCAGTGTGGCGAGGTTTTCTTTCTCCTAACCGACAGAAAACAAAATTCTAGTTAAAACCAGAAACGTCCATTTTGTTCAGACACGTGAATGCAAACATAATCATCCACATACTCTTTGCAGCATGGATTCAAGGTTGCTCCTTTCCTTTAAGAAGCTATCCTTTTCTTGCTGGGCCTGCTGGGTAATCTGCTCCACCTGCTTCTTCAGAGTGAGCAGCCGCTCCTGAAGGTGAACATAAGACAGATTACATTCCTTTACGGATCAAAGTTGGACAGAAAAGTTCCCCCTTGTGCTACAAACTCAGATAAATAAGCCTAATTATTTTATCTTTAGTTGAATTATTAATCATTTGTTGCTCTGTTGTTTTTTTAAGTGCAAAAGCAGAAGTGTGACCTTGCGAGTGAGGGTGCTGCGTTGGTAGTCTGCCACTTCCCGGAGGAGCTGCTGCGTTCCCAGCTCCTTTTCCTCGTCCTGCCTGCTCTCCCTCTCCAGATGCTGAAACTCCAGGTCTTCAAAACGCTTCGTTTCTGCCTCAAGCACTTCACAGTCCTAAATCACACAGTGATCAAAAATATTCAAAAGAGAAATATAACAGTTAAAGAAACATACCACTGAGTGCACAAGTAGGAAGTTTACAGCTGCTGAAAGTCTTTTGTTATATTTATGCGTAATTACGACAACATTTAGATTTAGATTCTATTAGAAAAAACTTCAGTTTGGTATGAATTAACTAAACAACTAATACAAAATATCAAACTGTTAATTATTTTAGTTACTTAATGATGCTCATGGTCAGAATTCCCTCAGATTTACCTGTAATAATTCAGAATTTGTTGTGCTGCCAGTGACAGGACAAATCATAAAACTATGAATAATTGTTGCATTTTTGAAAACAAATGTCTTCTGATTTAAATTAACAAGTTCTACTATAATGCACATGGGTTCATTTCAGAGAGCAGATGGATGTTTTTCTCAAAGGGCACCATCTAGAGGCGGAAAAGTGTATTGCACTTTAAGCCCCTCCCCCTATTTCTGTGATTACGGCAGAAAGAAATGTCTCATGAATGAGCACCTCTGGCCGATCAACAGAGCTAAAATACAATGATTTACAGGTATTCTCACCTTATGCTGTGTATTCAGATTGCACACACACACACACACACACACACACACACACACACACACACATATATATATATATATATATATATATATATATATATATATATATTTAGGACTGTGACTTTAACGCGTTAATTGATTACGTAATTAGAAAAAAAGACGCGTTAAAAATTTTTTACGCATTTAAGCACAGCTTGTATTTCGAGCAAGGCGGAACCTTTGTCATTGCACGATTTCCTCGTAGACCGAATATCACTGACGCACACAACAATGCACAGCGCTAATGGCTACTAAAACGGAATAAAAACAGAAAGAAGTTGCCTTGCTTGGACTGATGCTGGATTTAGAAAACACGTCCGCCTCTTTTCTTAACTATGAAAAAATAAACTGCCAGACAACAACGGAGTCCGTGTCGCGGACATTTTTCAGAGATCGTCTCTGCTGCAGCTGCCCAGTGGCACCGGAACCTTTACAAAAGTTGCGGTTATCTATATTTTAAACATTTACGTGACACCTGTGCAGCGCTGAAAGCACCAGACAGAATAATGACTTGCCCCAACAGTAGTTTATGAAAGTAGTCAGACAAACGATAGGCACCTGGCTGCCACTGGGAGAACGCTCCTGTTCTCACTACTCTGATTTTAGTTGATTTGGGTCTTGTTTCATATCACACAGTGACATTTGAATAATTAAAATGCATTTTTTAATTTAAAAGCTTTAGTTTACAGTAATAACCATGTCTAATGTTTGATTCTCTTTCTCATAATTTTAATTAAAAGTTTTGCTTTGAGGGCACATTTTTCTGAACGATTAAAATGCGATTAATTTAATTAATTACAAAGCCTCTAATTAATTAGATAAAAATCGAGTCCCGGCCCATATATTTCTTTATTTTCTTTCTGTCAAAGACTCACTTGCCACCAACTGTGCAACAGTCTAGAGATACATCCACAGTTGAGCGTGCATGCTGTGTGCTTGATAGCTGTATGTAAGCAGATGTCTAATGTCATTGGTTAATGCTGAGCAATACTCAGTTCAAACTTCATGGGGCTCTACAGGACGGGGGCGGGCTTAGCAAACACAAAACGGATGTATTGCCAACATTAAATAACAGTACAGGGTAAGACTCTCACTTTTACATTTTTTTATCATTAATAATTCCTGGAGTGGGGAAAGCTCTGCATTGCTGCTTTAACAATGGAAGACTCAAACACCAATATAATGTCATGATCCTGCCACCATGCCTTGACCTCCATGCACCATCATTCACCTAATCAGCCTTCATGCTTCACACCTGGTCCCCTCATCTAGCCCCAGCCAAACCCTGTTTCCACAGCAATCCCAGCCTGCATCTCATCAGCTTCATCCACTTCACCTGCTCCTGACTCCTCAGCTCATCACACACACCTGCTTCCCCTGCTACTTAAGAACCAGTCATCCAACTATTCAGTGCCAGATTATTCAACGCTTTTGCCAGTAAACCAACCTTCCTTCCTTCCTTCCTTCCTTCCTTCCTTCCTTCCTTCCTTCCTTCCTTCCTTCCTTCCTTCCTTCCTTCCTTCCTTCCTTCCTTCCTTCCTTCCTTCCTTCCTTCCTTCCTTCCTTCCTTCCTTCCTTCCTTCCTTCCTTCCTTCCTTCCTTCCTTCCTTCCTTCCTTCCTTCCTTCCTTCCTTCCTTCCTTCCTTCCTTCCTTCCTTCCTTCCTTCCTTCCTTCCTTCCTTCCTTCCTTCCTTCCTTCCTTCCTTCCTTCCTTCCTTCCTTCCTTCCTTCCTTCCTTCCTTCCTTCCTTCCTTCCTTCCTTCCTTCCTTCCTTCCTTCCTTCCTTCCTTCCTTCCTTCCTTCCTTCCTTCCTTCCTTCCTTCCTTCCTTCCTTCCTTCCTTCCTTCCTTCCTTCCTTCCTTCCTTCCTTCCTTCCTTCCTTCCTTCCTTCCTTCCTTCCTGACTGACTGACTGACTGACTGACTGACTGATCACAGTCTCTTCCTTCCTTCCTGATCACAGTCTCTTGACCTCTGTTCCACACCTGACCATCACCAAGGACTCTGCCTGCTACCACGACCCTAGCCTGTCTACGACCACGTTTCCAGCCTCCTCCCTGTACCTGCTTAGTTCTGACCTGGCTTTGACCCACTCCTGCCTTCGATTCTGCTCTTACCTGAGTATTCCTCAGGTAACACCTCCTCATAGCTCTGGCTAATAAAGACTGTTTAAATCTCTTACTGTGTTTAGTGTCATCATGGGTCCTCTAGTTCAGTTCATGACATATAAATGACTTTATAGCATTTTCCGGTTTGATTTGATGACCAATAAATTCTGTAAATTCTTACAGAATGATTATTGCATAGACATCAGTGTTCTAACATTATCATCATACCACTTATTTATGACTAAATAACTAAAAAAAGGAGGCATATATTCCATCTCATGCAGCCACCAGCCCACAGTAACCGCTGAAGGTAACATGCAAAATATTTAATTTTTTACGAGCAAAAAAAATGTGACATTTTTTTCTCAACATGCATTTTAAACACAAAAACAAAAGAACTAAACTGTGTTACTCTCCTTACTGCTGATTTTATCTTCCTATAAAAAATTAAAGCAAAGTAGTGTTAGGATAGCAAGAAAAGAGAACAGGAATAAGGTGAAGCTTCAGAATGGCCGTGGGGAAGTTACGTGGAATATAGCTGAGGAAATGTGTTTCCATGCATGTTAAAGTACACATCACGTGTCTTTTTTTGCACATAAATCCCCCTTGTTGACACCTGCCCATGTTTACTATGTGTCTATGCAGCTCTGTTGAAGCTCCCTGGACATGAAATATTGTCTTGCATGACTCTGAGTGTGTGTGTGTGGGTGTGGGTTACTGACCCTGGCTAGCTGCTCCTGCAGGGGCTCCTTGGTGGCTTCAGGGCAGCTGTCCAGCTGGGAGCGCTGCTCACACACAATCTGAGCCAACCTCTCTACTCTGCCCCTTTCTGCCAGCAGCAACTCACACGCCTGGTACACGCACACATGCACATGTACCCGCACACCATGTACACATGTGTTCATGTGCACATATTAATACAAAGACAAGGACAAATACACACACAGGACAGAGAGAGGATGGCTGCGTTAGTGAGGGAGTGGGGGGTTGACAGTTAGTTACTATGGCGATCGGGTCAGTATGGCTGGCCTGGAGGGAAAAGGAGGCAGAGGGAAACCTGGTGGAGTGATGGACAGCTGGTTAACAGGGTTGGGAAGATGTTTTCTGTTGTTTCTGCAGTTGTTTAAATGGGAATGACTGGAGGAATGAGGAAGGGGGACATAAACAGGGACACAAGCTTGGTCTGTTTCTGCAGTTCTGGGTGTTTTTTGAACATTCTACCTTTCCCTCTCAATGTTGCTATCAAAATCCAGTCCACACAGTCAGTTTGTTGTTGTTACCAATAAGGTTTTAAACATTAAAAGCACACTCTTGCTTGCATACGTCTATGGATGTCCTGTGTGTGTGTGTGGTAGTGTGTGTCAGATAGGATCACCGTGTGGCGGATGCACCCTGGGTAGTATTAGCAAATATATATTTGGATCGGGGAGGGCATGAGAGGGATTAACACCTGCTAGCTAGTCACATGACTCCTGAATATGTGAACATCTCTGGGATGCCTTTGTACATTTTCCAATAACAAATAAAACTCTGTTGAGGTTTTAGGGTTGAATTTGAGTTTTTGGACATTTGTGTGACAAGAATACTCTACTTCACAGAATCAGCATCTTCAGGTAACCGTATCAATTTATTTACATGTTCACAATACCATTTCCATTAAACAGTGGCCTACTAAATACCTTTTCTTTTTCCTGCTGGGACTTTGTTTCCAAGTGTTGTATTTTATTGTGAAGTGCTTCCAAACCCTCTTTTTCTCGCTCGAGAGCAGCAACTTCAGAGTCCTGTTCAGCCTCGACCAAAGCTCGCTCTACCTCTACCTGCAAAAAAAAAACAAAAACAGACTTTCAGAGGAAGTCTCATTCCTCTATAAAGACCATAAACGAAATTCTCCATCTTCTACCTCTTGGGCAGACTCCTCCATCTGGTTGTCCAGGTCTTTGATTTTTTGCTCCAGCTCCTCGATGTTGTTCAGCGCCTGAATCCTCTCCTCCTCCACGTGCCTCACTTCCTCCTCTGTCGGCACTGAGCGCGAACCTGCATCCTGTAAAGCCTGATGACGACAACAACATCAACATACTTACTGATTTATTCAACTTAAAGAGGCAGTTTAGGTGAAAGGTTTGCATGATGGGTGTGAACTATAATAATCTACAACAGGGTGTAGTTACTTGTATTGGAAAAATATTGTGATATTTACAAGTATTAATAAATACCAGTTTATTTTGATCAAGATGAATTTCTGTTCCCAGACAAACCTGAAGCTGGTGCAAACTAGAATACTCCCACGTACACAAGAACCAGCTGTCAAATATAAACGGCATCACTGCCGTAATCTAATAAATGGGCTGTAAATACCCTCTGTGTGTGTGTGTGTGTGTGTGTGTGTGTGTGTGTGTGTGTGTGTGTAAATGATATTAATACTTTCCATGGGGTAACACAAACAAACCCTGTAGCCTTTCAAGAGAATAAGATGCATAAATACGTCCTGAATTCATCCTGAATGATAAAGTACGTCAAAGTGTACAAAAAGATGAGACGGAAATCCTTTTATCAGCCTAGAAATGTAGATAAACTGTATTAGTAGCAAGATATTCGGACAGAATGAGCCCACTAAGCATCAGAGTAAGTGTTTTATACCTCGTTTGTCCTCCGTGGACGTGGAGATGGGGAGGGAGCAAAGCTTCGCAGACTGGCAGCAGGGGATTCAGTTCTGTAGTCTCTAGGTCCACTGCTTCGTCTTCGTTGTACCTGCAGCTCATCATCATCATAGCAGTCATTCTCCAATCCGGGGCAGGTCATGTGACCTTTTCCTGATGTCCCGTTAACAGCTGAACAGTCTGAGAAAACGGACGGCGTGTCGTCGTCGTCGATCAGCTGGAGCTTCTCCAGCTCCTGGTTGATCTTCTGAAGGTTTGTGACAGCCGAGGTAGAGCTCAGAGTCGTTCCACCTCCGTCCCTTTCAGTCCGTCCCAGCTCAGAACAAAGGGACAAGATGGTCTCGAGCCGCTGTCTCTCCTGAGACAGCCACAAATATAGACACAGAAAGGACGTGTTAAAGAACGGGCAAACGCAGAGGTGTTCGATTATGTTTTTGCTTTCAGTTTTAGCAACCTTTAACAACATTTTCAACTGACTAAATTTAACAAAACAAGACGACAGTTCTGCTTGGATAATAGTATTACCTGAGGAAGCATTGTAGGACTCAAGAACTCCAGCCAAAGAGACAAATATTTACTCTGGAACCTTCCTTTCTCATATTAATAAGACATTTTACCTGAAAGTACCCTTTTAAATGTTCAAGGAAGCTACTTTCTCTCACTTTGTGTCCTTACAGCAAAAGTTCCCCTTCCCACTATTCTATGTGCCCCAGCATGGCTTTATGTGGTGAGTTACGGAAGCTGCAGAGGGTCAAAATGACCCCTTCGCTCTAAGCCACAGCAGGCCTGTGTGGGTAATATTAGAAACAATGATGGAGCAGACTTGTTTGTGTGTGGTCGGGATAGAGCTAACGAGAGGAGGACAGCTGGCAGCTACGATGGGAAGTGTGCATGAGAACAAGTCACTAGGAATGTGACTAACGCCACTGAGGAAACACGACTCGTTCAGGATATTGTGCTCTAGGAAGGAATACGTGGATGTTTGGACAGTGAAAGTACTAAAAGAGTCACAGTCTACTTTATAAAGTACTCAAGTGCCACGTCCAACTTAGGAAATGCATTGAGGAGTGTTTTTATTTTTTATTGGTCATAACTACAATAAAAAAGTACAAAAACTTAAATTTATTAAACAAGCTTGTCTCGTTTTGGCATCTTGTTTTCAAAGGTCTGGTGTGAAGATGGGAATCAAGAGTTTGTTAAAGAGCGTGAAATACAAACAGAACACAAAAGCTTTAAATATTATGCAAAAATTACCTGGATATTAATCAAAAATAGAATGAAAAAGCAGGAAAAGAGAAAGACAAGGATATGCAGGAATAGAAACTTGTGTTTTATTCTACTGATTTTTATTTCTGTGTCATGTTTTGGTGTTCAGGTGAGATAAAGCCTGGTGTCTGACTGCAATGAAAGAGGAAAATGGAAACTCTAAAGACACTAAATTCAGCATTTCTCTTACAACTCTCTCTGTTCAGTAAAACAAGAAAATTACTCATTTATGTGTGTTAAACATTTGATCATAATTAAAATTATGATTTCAGGTTGGAGGATCATAGTTGTAATGCATATGTGTACTATGTCCTATACTGCATGTGTACAATATCCTATACTGCATGTGTGCTATGTCCTATACTGCATGTGTACTATGTCCTATACTGCATGTGTACAATATCCTATACTGCATATGCGTACTATAGAAGTCTATATTTTCTAATATATTAGATATATATTAGACTATATTACACTGCTCCTCCACATTAGAAAACACAACATGAAGGACGCAGCTTGTCTAGTCTACCACTAGGGGGCAGACTAAGCTAAGGCACCTGGAGTTGAAAGTTTTCAGGACATTTAGCACTTTCTATGCTTAGAGGTGATGAAAGCAGTTTATTATTTTACTATTTGTGATTCAGAATTACATTCTCTGAATAAAAAGTGTAATAATCTGACAATAAACAGAGATTCCAGTTTGAACCAACGTTTGTGGCGATTAGAATATCTAGCTCAGAAAACCTAATGGCACATTTGGGTTCTTCAAACTTCCATCAGATAAATTCAGACTCACAATAGTTGTGAAATATACCTTGTTTTGATCCATAAATTAAAAATAAGTGAATACAATCAAAGACTATTTCTATTTGAGATTTAAAAAAAAGTACACATCAACAGAAAAGATACATGGAATTACAAGTTCACCGAGCATTTGTGTGTTTATCCACCTGCTACACTCCAACTCTGTAATCATGGTTTCTCTGACCCTCATCTAAATGATGTGCTCTGTGGTTTCTCAGTGGTACAAACCACACTGGGCATATCTCCAGAGGACTCACACACACACACACACACACACACACACACACACACACACACACACACACACACACACACACACACACACACACACACACACACACACACACAGAGCATGGTTTACCACTCAACAGATGCTTATGGCAGTTAGCCCATACTAACAGGACTATTCTTAACCTTGTGCTTGGATTGTGTGTGTGTGTGTGTGTGTGTGTGTGTGTGTGTGTGTGTGTGTGTGTGTGTGTGTTCAGATCCCTGGGAGAGTGTGTTCAGGAGGCCAAAGAGAATGTTGTTCTGAAGCCAAGCATTCCAACTCTCTGGATTTTTCTCATGTGTGTAAAATAATAACGCCCTAGCCCCGGGCTGACAATAACATCCTACGTTGTTGTCCTATTTTATTTAGAACCATCATCTACCCATCATCTCATTCACATATACAGATTATAAAAAACTCACCAGTCTTTCCACTTCCTGCTCTCGAAGTCGCTCCTCTTTTTGCCATTGGTGGTAACCTGTTAATTCCTCTTTTCCGCTCAGTGAGCTGATACTCCCCCTTCTTTCTCTGAACCCCCCTGGTGGTGTCACTCCTGCCTTGCCAAAAGACTGCCTCCTCTCCCCAAAACCAATCCCAGGTTCAAGCCCCGCCTTCCCAAAAGAAGCCCTTCTCTCTCCGAGTCCCAGCCTAGAGTCACAGGTGAGTTCTCCTCCTCCTGCTTCTGAGGAGAGCCCTTGGCTTTGATGCCGCTCTGCCTCTGGAGGGCTGGAATTAGAGGAGCTAATGGAGCCCAGTGAGCTGGTGGAGGTCAGGCTAAGCTTTTTGGCAACTCGAGGAGAAGAGCCTCCTGCCTTAGATGGGATTGTCACATCTGGTGGGGCAGCTGTGTTTGAAATGGAATGGCTGGTGGAGCAGGAGCTCTTAGAGGAGGAAAGAGAGATGTGCACAACTCCTTCTCCCAGAGCACTGGTCTGGACTTGAGTTCTGTTGGATACCTGCAGAAAGGATTTACCGGAGCTGTTGTTGAGCTCAGAACTGGCGTTTTGATTATTATTGTAAGAGTCTCTCATAAATTTGTAACCACCAGTAACGTCGGATCGCCGTGGAGGAAGCATCGACAAAGGCAGCGTTCCATTGTTGTCACCGCGCGGGGACGGGGAAGGGCAAAGACGTGGCAGAGAGCGACTGTGACCTCCTGTCATGCTACTCATTGACCCTGCAGAGTACTTCCTGGTCCGACTGCTGGGTGTGGGTTCCTGGATCCCAAAGCTACGTCGACCTAGACGAGGACTCGAGGGCATGCTGACTGCACCTCCTGCAGATGGAGCGCGGGATGAGGAGGATGGGGGAACAGAGAGAAGGAAGCTCTCACTACCTCCTACAGAAGAGGAGGAACCTCCACCATTCCACGTCGACAGAAGAGGGGAGGAGCCAGGGTTCTGCAATCGTTGCCCGTCAGCGAGTCCACAGTTATCTTGACTACGACTGACTGAAGTCCTTGAAGACAGAGAAGAAGACGGGTCGGATCGTCGTCCAGGCAAAAGCGGGGGAGGAGATTTCAACAACACAGGTGGACGGTCAGACCCATAGTAACGCCTTGCTTGCTCCTGATAGGCTGACGTAGATTTAGCAGCAGTTGAAACAGGTGTTGTGGGAGGAGACTGGGACGAAAAGAAGATAATGTTCATTTTACATGAGTAAAAAACCAAATGTGAATTCACTCTGTAAAAAGATGTACTGAAGCTAAAGGAGCTAACCTGTGTCACGCTAAAGTAGGAGGGGTTAGCATTCCCATTGGCTCTCAGGCTGTTTTCCAGGGCTATCTTCTTACGTTGCAGAGTGTCCATCAAATCCCGAAGCTCAGAGGCCGATCGCATGCCCCTAGCACTACTGGTGCCCCCCACCACTGCATTGCTGTAGTCACTGCTGAACTTTAAATAGTCTGGAAGAGAAGACAAAGATCACAAATACTGTTTTATGGGTAATGAGACTAAAGGACAACAGGAACGAGCAACCAGGGAAAGTGTACAAGCGCAGAAATGAAACAAACAGGAGAAATAAATGTTTTGGAACTGGGATAAGGAATGTGGGTAGTAAAAGAGTTGGAACGTTTGAAAAGGTCTGAAGCAAAGAAAGAGGGAGAAAAAGTGAGGGCCAATGGTCATAAATGGTGAGAGACAGATGAGAAGGAGATTGTGCGTATACCTGAAGCTGCAGGTAGTTAGAAACCAGGTTCTTGGCAGAACAAACTTGGGGAAAATATTCCACAACTGGCCGCAGATTCCCAGGAGTGGGATTCGACTCACACAAAAAAGATTCAGCGTGCAACTGAACACTCACACAAAACCAGCCGTTAGATCCAAAACAAACCGTTTAACTTGAGCAGAGCTCCTCAGAATAGGATTTTACTAAATGAAAAAGCCCACAAAATATTGTGGAATACCCTTAAAGGCCCCCTCCCTTCCTAAGGATGGTTAATATAAAGCAGCTTCAGCAGTCGGGAGGTCTTTTTCTAGTCCTCGGCTTATTATTTCATTTCATTTCTCCTGAATTCAGCTAATAGCCAAAGTGTAACTTACTTTAACATCAGGATGGGCCGATGAATGCCCGATTGTTGGTTTTTGTTAAGCGCTTCCTAAAAAAGCTAGCTGTGCACATCCTGCCATTAAACACGCAGGTGAAAAACACAGCAGGTGAAGCTGAATGAGGCCTGCCTAGTTTTTTTAATCTTCTGTGGTTTTCTGGTGGAAAAGGAGCTATTACACCTCTTAAGCTTAGACCACCCAGCTCACACACACACACACGCATGCACACGCACGCACACACACACAGGAAAGCTTTCCCTCATGTCGGAAAGGGGGATCGGCTCAAGGAAAACACAGATGTGCTTGTTTGGTCTGTGCAAACACCAGG